GCCCGCATGCTTGATGAGGTTATTTGTGTTGTGGACAAGAACGCAGTCATAGGTGAAAAGAGAACATAGAAGTGGGCTCAATACATAGCCATGAGGAACACCAGTGTTCAGTATCAGTGGGGAGGAATTGTATATCCCCAGCCTGACTGACTGAGGGCGACTGGTCAGAAAGTCCAGTATCCAAATGCAGAGGTGTTGATTGAGGCCCAGTTTCTAAAGCTTGAAGGCCAGTCTTTGGGGGATTATTGTGTTGAATGCTGGACTGTAATCAATAAACAGCCTTCAGACATATGTGTTGGGGTGCTCAAGGTGGGATAAGGTGATGTGAGGGGCTGTGGAGATTGCAACCTCTGTGGATCAACTGGCACGGTATGCGTACTGGTGGGGATCAAGAGTAGCTGGGATGATGTTTTTAATGTGTGTCTGGACCATTCTCTCAAAACACTTCATGGCAATAGGAGAGAGTGCGACTGGACCGAAGTCGTTGAGACTGTTGGTGACTGTTTTATTTGGTACAGGGGCAGTGGTTGCAGTCTTAAAGCATTTAGGAACCACAGTCAGTTGTTGCTGCAGACGTCTTTCTTGATCTTTGATAAGTTAAATATCACTGTCTGTTATCTCTTAAAACTTCACTTTCCTTTTATATTAGCAGTTTTCATTGCATTTGAACTAGTCGATGATGAGGATGCAAGCGGTGGCCCAGTTTCCATGTTTGGTGAAAGGCGCTGGAGCGTTTGACTGATGACCTGTGCTCAGTGGGCTTGCCCCAGATTTGGCTCAGGCTGTCGTTAAAAATGGAGCTGCTCTCTGACAGAGCTCATTCGTGACACTGCCCCATCCATTTCTTGGATCACCCACCCCCTCTTTAATCCTCATCACTAGGGTTAGTGAATAGCCCCCTTTGGAGTCTGACACTGTAGCATTCTTCATTTGATCAAGTTTCCTCTCTATAAATTATACTTACATATCAAAATTCAAAATTTACATATTCAAAATATCAAAATTATACATACATATCAAACTCAAATAAATGAAAGACTTATTATTTGTGATATTAACCATCACTATTTTACAACCACAAAACAATATTTTACATGAACCATTTTGCTGAATTAGTTCAAATGATCCTACAGTGAAAAGAATATATTCAAAACATATCTAGACCTTAGATATTTACAAGTGTTATGTTATGATCCATTTAAACCAAAGGCATTAATTGAGATAACAATCAACTAAAAATATGCAAAATCATCATTTACAGGGTCCTTTCTATTGGGAGTTGTCTGTCCCAAGCTCTAACCCCTAAACTTCAATTTTTGAAAATAATACTGAAAATATTTTCCAAGTTTTTTCAATGTGTTTCAATCCTGAACCACAAAGTTTTGTGTCACTATCTCACACTTTAATATAACAAAAGTTTTTTTATCCTGCTCTACAATATAATGACAAAAAAGCTGAATTGAATCTACACCACATCTCCTCCCATACCATGGTCAGTTCCCTCAGGTGCTGACCGCAGGCTTTTTTCCAGCTGACCCGTTGAGATCCTGAACAGCACACACATTAAAATCTCTCTGGCTGCCTCATCTGCATGATGGAGCGTGACCTGGGCTCACTGAACGCACTCCCCCATGGGCGGCCCCTTAAGCCACTGCGTGCTCTTCCACGAAGAGGGGTCAAGGCTACCAGTGCAGGTGTTGAATACTCTTAGCAGAACAAAGGGAACTGAAGCTGAACTCTTTAATGTGTGAACAGAGCAGCTGAATAGGACTTGCATTTTTAGCACGTGGGTCCATAGACAAATACACGCAGACACCGCATTGGCTACTGGATCGCGCGTCAACGCCATGTCAAGATGCTGCATGTACTTATGAGACCACTTCACCTTAAAGCCACGGTTACACTGTAAAATTACAGTACATTACTACTAGTTGCATTACTTTCACAGTAATTTACTGTACAATATTAACAACAAATAACAATAAAATAACAACTGTATAGACCCAATCAAATCAAATCTAAACAGCACAATTTACAATAAATTCAAACATAACAGATAAAACATTGACAATAATGGTAAAATCTTGTTGCATTTGAGGCTGCAACTTCAAATGTTGCCAAGTAATGGATTTTACTTTCATTTTTCCCATTTTCTAGTGCTCAAGAGCAGGTAGAGCTGCTAAGCAGCATTAATCTCAGTAAGCTCTGTATTTGCTAACTTGCAGCTGAAGCCAACAACAGTCTAGCTAATCTTTTACTCTTTCAGAAGAAGATGCCAAGCACTATCACACAACCAATAAATGCACCAGAATGTAAACTAGGACCTTATGTTGATGTGTTTGTAAAGATACTGTTTGGCTCAATCAGAAGAAGCTCAATTTATGCTGCAATTTACATTAAATTCAAACATAGACAAAACATTGGCATAACAGAAAAAACTAGTAATGTCTAATCTTTCTTACATTTTTCCCATTTTCCAGCTGCCAAAAGCAAGTAGAGCTACTATCCCTCTGAGGAATACTCTGTCTGTGGTAATACTTGTGGCTGAAACTAACAACAATTTAGCGAATTCTTTACTCTGCACCAGGCCAGTATGTTGACAAGGTGATCACTATTTTTAGAATTATTACTTAATAGAGAGACATAAGGCAACATAACCTATAAGAAGGTAACGGTATTAGCATTTATGCTAGCAGCCGTGGAGTGGGTGTTTTTGCTCATATTGTAACAATCGACAGAGAAAAAAATGAAGGCTTCATTATTGAGAAAGGTTAACCAAACATTCATGAAGTTATTGACCTGGGAAGATCAGTTTAGTAAAGTTTGCAATTTTCCAATATCCTGGTTAGATTTGTCTCAGAATTAGACAAAATCCCATAGCATCAGTGCAGCGCTGCCTGTGTTATCCACCCGCAAGTAAGTTCTTTTCTGATGTGATGTAAGCCTTATTTGTCCTATTTAAAGTACAGTAATCTTCTGTATTTTTGCATAACAACTGTAAAAGTAACACAACTCAGTAGCCAGCAATTTGCTGTAAATTTGCATATGAAACAACTGACCTTTAATTTTACCAGGCCTAACCGTTTTTATTAAGTAATGCCAGATAGAAAAAAAATATCAAAAATATCAATTGACATATTTATTTGTCATGTTTTCCATTGTATTTGTAAATATTTCAAAAATCTTGTTAGAAAAAAGTTTTTGTTAAAATGTTTTAACCACATGTTTTACAGCTCAGTGTTAACTTCATAGTAATTTGCTGTGTTATTACATAAAACTTCTTAAGATGAGTTGATTTCACAATAAAATTATGAATACAGTGTTGTACAGTGGAAAATTATTGATAAATATTGTGAAATGCTGGCAGTAATTAAAAGGATACAGTTGTTCTACACCAACTGACCTGTCCATGCTCTGCCCACACATGCATTCTTTCATAGCAACTGTCGTGATGTTGAACAACCTTTATACACGCAATGAGAAACTGTAGCACACAACTCAGTTCTTGTCAGTCAGTCAATTTAGACAACGCTATTAATTTCACATTCTGTTTGTTTTGTATGCATGTCAAAGGTCAAACTCTTACAACAGAGCGGCTGCATGTAATCAAGCTAACATTAACGTGGTGGCAAATTTATTGGTGTTGTTTCCAACCTGCCTAGTTTTAATTAGCTACAACAACACAATCCAGCTCAGTAGTGTAGCATTTCAGACTTAGCATTGCGTAGCATTACGTAACTTAGCATTACGCAGAGAATCGAAACTTAAACCTAAATTCATTTAGTTGAATGGGACTTTTGCCAATGTCCTGCAAAGCTGTCCATTTTAATGGTTGCTGCAAAAGAACACATTTGTATGTGAAGCATTAATAGGTCAGTAGACCTCTGAAGTCGTGTTGTCCTTCTGTGTTTGTCCATGGCAGGAACTTCTGGTCCTGGGGTTCCTAATATGGACATGACGTTAACTATATAATGACAGCACAGCTTCAGAGGTCAGAGGTATTGATTCACAATAATGCTGAATTTGTGCTGCTCAGCTCTAATCTGCTGATTTCATGTAACTTCCATAAACTGTATGAAGTGCTTTGTCTGGCTTAACCTTACACAGGTTTAAAATGGTCCTTCTTTGCCCTTCTTTCTTTGTTCTTAATAACCATGTTGCCCTTAGCTTGCTAGCTAGTAATGAACATTTCCATCAGCAGTCATGTATAACAGATATACAGTAGTTTGCTACATAATGTACAGTGGGCAAACTCAGTTTTGAAATATTAAATATTTTACTTAATTCCTCTGGCTAACAAATAACTTTGCCCACATTTTCTGGCAGTTTGAAAAAGACATTATATCAGATATTAATCACTTCCATGCTCCTGTGGGGAAATAGTTGTGGAAAGTCAGTGAGAGCCTATTGCAAGGAGTAGGCCTATTGGGATGGAGGGTAGGTTGCAAGTGAGTGGCAAGACTATGCAAGATGACTGTATATAAACAGGGAATGTTCGACATTGATCAAAGGAAAAACCTTGGTAAGGCGTAATGCATTGACTATGGAGCACCTGGGAGTAGACCTTAGCTGTAGAGAAGCTGAAGGCCAGAACAGATGTGTCTTAAAGTTTTAGAGAGTTCTGGATGGTGGATTACTGCACTGCTTACAAGTGTGTGCAAACCTTCAATCTAAAAAAGACTTCACTGTGTATTGTGTGGCTCTTCAACTGGAGGGAAGTGTCCCTCACAATTTGGTCATTTCCTGACTCAAACCATTTCCAATGGGTAAAAAAAAGTTTAGGTAAAATCACAGCGAAACATTCAATGTTTTTAGCTTAGTTAACCAAAAAAGTCACGTTTTTTCATCTTTGTGCTGTCTGTGTGGTTTCTGTCAGTTTCCTCAACACTTACACCTGTTTAGAAGGTGGCGTGAACATTTAGTATCTACTAATCTCAACATTAAAACTATTTTCTGTGGGGAAACCAGTTTTTATTTTGTAGTGCGCAAACCTAAACCTAGAAAACACTGATCATAGATAACCTACATTTGAACTAATGTACAGCTGCGGCAACCTGCCCATGGTGCATTGTCTTCTTAGCACAAACATACGTGATCCAGGACATGCCAAACTTAACTAACAGAATCTGAAGTTAAATACCAGTTGAATGCTGGGAAAATATATACAATACTATCTATTTTACTCTGTCGTAACAACTTCCTTCCCCATAGAGACATTTTTTGCCACTGTAACTCAAACCTGCAGCACCACAAATAACAACAATAAACTTCAATGCCTTTCCTCCCCCCCAGGCCTTTGACTTCCATGCTCACAGCTGGCACTGTGCAAGAGAAGAAAGCTCAGAATCGTTTGCTGGACGCAGAGGGACCCTTATGCTTTGTCATATACTGGGTCAAGCTCTGTGCAGTGGCCTCAGTTCATTCTGGGACAACACAACATGCTAACAAAAGCTGCACACAAAAGGACGTGGTTCAGTTATAAAAGCTTTAAGGGAAGGGCACGCAGTCCCAGCTTCACTTATCCCAGGACCAAGAGACTGTCTATGGTGAGTTATTAAGCTTTTTTGTTCTTTTTTGGCATTTTTTTTTAAATATCTTGTGGAAAATCCTGCAACATTAAACTGGAAAGTCACATTAAGATCATGGGGAATTTGGTGACTTGTGCATTTTTCATCTGTCACTTCCTGTAATTGAGCTACACTTGACTGACAAAAGCCTTCAGTTCCAACTTCCAACCGAATAGTGTGATAAATCAAGCTGACAATAATATATGCAAGATGCAAACAGACAGTGTTGCCGTGAACTGCATGGCTGTCATTGTAAATCATAAAAATGACGCTGTTTATTCTTTTCTGACACTCAGCTTTTACTACACTCATGTCTTCATCCGTTCGTGTCGGCAATATGGCTCAAATCTGGGGTGCAGTGTTTCTCACCCTGACTTTTACAATCCAAGGTAGGTGCTTCATTTGAAATTAAACAGCTAAATCACATTCCCAGGCATCCTGCTTTCTTTCTGTGTAGAGGGCTGATTTCATGTAATCCTTTCAAGGTATTACGTTATAGGCCGACGAAGAGTAAAGTCACCAAAAATACATGCTTGTGCAAAACAAATAGTCTCTGTCATACGAAACCTCATTGGAAAAAACATGTGGTAACACTTTTCTGAAGGCAACATTCGTAAAGCTACATGATATCTGCATAAGCCTTTTATGACAACCAACATAAAGCTACATTTGTATGCTAATGTTTGAACATTTGTAATTGTTTATATGGATTGCTCTAATGCATTAGTTCAAACTGTGGTATCTCAGTAAAAAATATTTAAAAAAAACAATGAAGAATTCAGCGCTTAGATATTTTTAAGAATTGTTTTACAATCAATTTAAACTCAAGGCATTAATCGAGACAGTTATAAGCTAATTATATACAAAATCATTTATATGCTTTCTTTTGAGGGGTGTCTGTCTGAAAGCCTAAAAATAATACATATCCCTGCCCATTATTGCCACATTGTGAGCAGTTAGATCCCATTGTTTTGAAGTAAATGCAAAAGTCTGAAAATCAGTGTGTAACATTAAGACCTGTCACTACTGAAACACACTTTTTTGTGTTTTAATGAAAAGCATTATGATTTCATGCAAGCACAACTGTTCAAAGCTGTGGTTGTTAGTCATGTACTGGCTCGCGTTTTAGAGCTCTGCAAAATTAGGTAAAATGGTCACCACTGAAACGCTCACTACTGAAACATTTGGCAAAGTTTCAGCAGTGTTATGATTGTTTTGGCAGTAACAAAATGGAATGTTTAATCATTTGTTTTAATAAAATAAACATGATTAAGGTACAGGGTCACTCAAAGCAAAAGGATTTTAGTCTAAATCTGGGTTATGAACCAATCCGTACAGTCCATTGGTTTATGTCAGTTGTCATGAAAGGCTTATGTAGCTGCTATATAGTTTTATGAACACTGCCCTACAGTAAAGCGTTAACAAATGTTCTTAACTTTAATTTATGTTTATTCAACAGGATTTGATTTTGGATCGTTTCAGTTTGGTCCAAACATCCTGAATGTTCACAGTAAAGGAAGGCTGGTGTTTTCAAATGGTGTAAAAAAAAAGGGGAAAAAAATGCAGTAATGATGTAGAATTGCGAGTTTAGCCTACTCTCAGTCTAAACCTTCTGTATGACCAAGATAACTCATGATAATGTACCATAATAATTTAAGAGTAACTTGGTCTGATATGTGAAGATGTTATCTGTTCTACATGTTCCACACAACCTTATGTCCACAAATATTGTTCTAATAGGTGAATTCAGCTACTTTAAGGTGCACCCGATTGCAAATGTTGGCTAGAGGAGTATAAAGTCCCCCCCAGAATTGGGCTGTGGAGTGGTGGGATTATATTCTCCTTCTCTGGAGTGATGAAGCTCCGTCCAATACCTTTGGCATGAGCTGGCGTGATCCAGAACTAGTTATCCGATATCAGTGTCTGACCTCACTAATGCTTTTTGCTTATCTTCACAGCAATGTTATACCATCTAGTGTGAAGCTTTCCTAGAAGAATAGAGGTTGTTACTTCAGCAAAGAGGTCAAAAAGGGGGTTAATACACTTGATTTCCAAAGAAACGTTGCAAAAGAAGGTGTCCACAAACTTTTGGACAGATGATGTATGTTCATACAGCAATGACTGAAAACTTGTAGAAGTTATGGTAGTCACATAAATAGCACTGCTACACAATTCACTTTGTAACTTCAGTCCCCCTTTCACTGACCAGGCACACTGCCCCAAAGGATCATTGGGGGCCAAGAAGTCGTGCCTCACTCCATCAAATTCCAGGCCTCTCTTCAATACGACAGACAGCACTACTGTGGAGGAACTCTCATTCACCAACAGTGGGTGGTGTCTGCTGCCCACTGCTGGAGACCGTGAGTACTGCAGTTAAGAGCACAGTCTCAAAGTAGCCATATTCAACAAAATTCAGCAAAATTACACTATAAAGATGACAAAGAGCGTTTTCCATATTTTTCCTAAGTGAGCTTACTTCTCCTTGTATGTACTCACCTCTATTTAAATGAGTCATAGCCTATATTTTTTCTTGTATTTGTTTCTTCCTGAGGTCCACTTTTGATGTTTGTGTGGTTTTATGTACCAAAAGAGTCAGAATTTATTCCTGCATTTTCCATTTTCCAACCTCTCTTTATCCCTTAGAATTAAACAGACTGTTTTTGTTACTGTGCCTTTAAGATATATGTACAACCCCAATTCCAAAAACGTTGGGACGCTGTGTAAAATGTAAATAAATGTAAATAAAAACAGAATGCAATGATTTGCAAATCTCAAAGACCCATATTTTATTCACAATAGAACATAGAACATGTGTTGAAAGTGAGGCATTTTACCATTTCATGAAAAACTTTAACTCATTTAGAACTTGATGGCAGCAGTGCATCTCAAAAAAGTTGGGACAGGGGCAACAAAGGGCTGGAAAAGTAAGTGGTACTAGTAAAAAACAGCTGGAGAAGCAATTTGCAACTAACTCCCATGACTGGGTATAAAAAAGAGCATTTTAGAGAGGCAGAGTCTCTCCGAAGCAAAGATGGGCAGAGATTCACAAATCTGCGAAAACTATGTCTAAAAATTGTGGAACAATTTCAGAAAAATGTTAATCAACGTAAAATTGCAAAGACTTTGGATATGCCAGCATCTACAGTACATAATATCATCAAAAGATTCAGAGAATCTGGAAAAATCCCTGTAGGGACAAGGGACAAGGCCAACAGTCACTATTGGATGCTTTTGTTCTTCACGCCCTCAGGTGGCACTGCATTGAAAACAGGCATGATTCTGGACTGGGAATCACTGCATGGGCTCAGGAACACTTCCAGATTTCATTGTGTGTGAATATAGTTCACTGTGCAATTGACAAATGCAAGTTAAAGCTGTATCATGCAAAAAAAAAAAGCCGTATGTCAAGCTCATTTAAGATGGACTGAGGCGAAGTGGGAAAGTGTCCTGCTGTCGGAATTAGGCAAAATTTGAAATTCTTTTGGAAATAATGGACACCGAATGCTCCAGGCTATAGACCTCCCAGCATGTTGTTAGCCCACAGTTCAAAGCCAGCATCTGTGATGGCATGGGGGAGCATAATTGCACACGGCATGGGTGTCTTGCACATCTGTGAAGGCACCATTAATGCTGAATGAAATACATACAGGTTTTGGCAACATATGGTTCCATCCAGACAGTGTTTTTTTCAAAGAAGGCCTTGCTTATTTCAGCAAGACATTGCTAAACCACATACTGCATCCATCCCAACAGCATGGCTTCACAGAAGAAGAGTCCAGGTGCTGAACTGGCCTGCAGTCCAGACCTTTCACCAATAGAAAACATTTGGCGCATCATGAAATGAAAAATCCAGCAAAGAAGACCCAGGACAGTTGAGCAGCTAGAATCCTATATCAGACAAGAATGGGACAACATTCCTCTCCCAAAACTCCAGCAGTTGGTCTCCTCACTTCCCGGATGTTTACAGACTGTTGTTAAAAGAAGAGGGGATGCTACACAACGGTAGATGTGGCCCTGTCCCAACTTTTTTAAGATGCGTTCAACATCTGATATGTGTTCTATGTTCTATTGTGAATAAAATATGTTTCTATGAGATTTACAAATCATTGCATTCTGTTTTTATTTACATTTATTTACATTTTACACAGTGTCCCAACTTTTTTGGAATTGGGTTGGTAAATACTTCTGCTCTGATTGGCTGCCCCGTCTTGTGCATCTTTCCTAAAGCAGTCTGGACTGAAACACTCCTTATCACTTCAACATAAATGGGCAGGGCTAAACCGCTGTACACAAAATAGGCAGATTTGTAAATCCATTGAATTGTGTGACATCACAAAAACAGTTCATTCAAAACAGATTTTTTTGTGTTTCCATATTTGTACTGTATGGACAGGGGACTGAACTTTATTAAACTCTTTTATTTAAAAAAATAATTGTTTTCCTCATTATGAAACGTTTGAAGTCTTAATTACAGATGAACAAAATCAAAATGACAGCACTGGATTACCTGACAACACTGATAAAAAAGAGTTCTAATATTTACAAAGCTCTAGAAATCACATCAATGCATAAAAGGGGATCAGAATCTGTAGATGCCATGATTCAAATGTGAAAACAGAGGTGTACAAATCATGTCTTAATAAGCAATGAGAAAATAGCATGCATTTGATATAAACTGACCCCCTGATGGTAACATTAGAAGTTGTAAGACTCTCTAAAAGGATATCTGGTCCAGATTACAGGTTGGGTCATGGGACTTGCCTAACAATATTATATGCTCTCTATTGGACAGGAGCAATGTCATTCAGGTGGTTTTGAGTGAGCACAACCTGGCTGTCGAGGACGGGTATGAGCAAGTATACAATGTTTCCAGAATCGTACTCAATCCTACCTACAACTCTAAAACCTATAATGGTGACATCATGCTCCTCAAGGTGAGTATGGCAAGACACCAGCACAATTCAGAATGAAGGAAAGCAGACATTTCAAAAGCACTACTAACTGTACATTACCACTCTTAAGTTTGGACAACACACATACAATAATAAACAACATGATACTGTGTTTAACTTGGAATATTAATTTCTGTATAAATTCGTTGTTGATGTTATACAGCTTTAGCTTTCTCAGTCATTCTGGAACCATCTACAGGTCCATTCATCATTGAAGACACATCCAAAAATTAAATACTTTTTTTATTGCCTATTACCTTCCAATGTATTACCGAAAAGCTGTGAAGCAGCACAGGCTTAGCATATTACTATTATTATTATTATTATTATTATTATTATTATTGAAAACAATTAATTCCTCACTCAGCTCTGTAAGTAAAGGTCGTTGTTGTGTTCACAGCTGAGTCGTCCAGCCTTATTGAACGCTTATGTGCAGCCGGCTCCTCTCCCGGACGCGGACACAGCTTCTCTGGACTCCAGCACCAGCTGCACTGTGTCTGGCTGGGGGGTCACGCGCATCTACAGCTTCTACCTGTCACCAGTGCTGCGAGCCGTGGATGTGGACTTCATTCCCAACTGCCAGATGTACTATAGCGTGAGGGTCAATGACAACATGATCTGTGCGGGCTCTCGCTTTGGAGGCAAAGACTCCTGCCAGGTAGGCACGCATGCTAGATTTCTGGCTATCGCTAGACAATCTAGTGGGTTTAATCACTCAACATGTGTCCAGATGATCCTCATAAACTCATGAATTTCCAGGTTTACAACAAGGAAGTTACTTTCGTATGACTGTCAAAAGTCATAAATACAAGTGATAAGTTCAGTTTGCAGTGATATCATTGGTCAATATATGTATTGTTTGTGTGGTTAGGGTTAGGGTTAGGGTTAGGGCTGATCACCTGATGATCACCTCAGCTCAAGCAACTTTGATGACGTGACAGTTTTCTGATGTTACACGTTGACGAAGATGTCCAAACACATCACAAAAACAGAATTGATAGTCCAACACACATAGTGGCTGACCACAGGCCGCCGTTTTTGATTAATATGAGAATTTCTAAAAAGCAAGCAAGTAAACTGGTTAACTGAACATGAGACAAAAGTTTGAACTTCAGATTAGTAGGCAGACAGGCAGGTAGGCCATCCAATCATAACATTCAGTCCGAACGAAATGATTGGGTGGGTTTTTACAGTCCTGTGGCTTCTACAGATAACATTTCTTTCTTTTTATTGCCAGAGCATTTGATTTATTGATTGCTATGGGGATGTAAAGAGTACTTTATAACAAAAAAGTTTCTAAGATAAATCACCTACTCCACCTTTAGGGATGGAGTCGCAACAGCCGCACTTCTGACCGAGATATCAGGGAAAGGACCATTTGCCTGCAATCATATGCAACCATAAATCGCTGTTTTTGCCGTGATGTGCAGGAAGATGATCTTGCTCTCTTTAGATGTGTTGCTTCTGTGCAAGACTTGGAAGCATTTAGCTTTTTTCAATTTTTTTTCCCCGTTGGACTGATAAAAATGGAAGCATGTGCTTCCATAAAACCATATACAAGCAGCAGGTCAAGTGTCTGAGGATGACACTGCTTGTGAGTTCCGAGTCAAAAGGTTTTCTGTGTTTTCTAAGTGAAGGGAAGTGTGAAATTGAAATTGTCTTTAGTAATCAACAGGTAGACATTAAGTGAACACTGGAATACTGCTTTACATCCTTAATTAGCAGTGGTATTAGATGTTCTAGCAAAGTTCTTGTTAAATGATTACGTGTTTAGGAAGGCCTGTTTCTTTGCGTATGTCATTGACCCACATTCAATCTGAGCACCACACTGGCTTTAAAAAAGAAGGTTCAACAACAAGTAAGCCATGCCAATCAAGACAATACAGTTACCTGGAAATAGACTATATTTATATGCCTTTCCTTTTTCCAGGTAGACTTCCAAAACACTTTTGTTGCTCGGTGGATTCATTTATGCTGCTTGTTCACAGGGTGACTCAGGTGGACCCCTGATATGCAATGGCAATCTGGAAGGCATTGTGTCCTGGGGAATAGGCTGTGCCAATCCCTACTACCCGGGCGTCTACACCAGAGTGAGGAGCTACATCAAGTGGATCAGTGGATTCATCAACTTAAACGACCCCTAACCCTGAGAAAAGAAGTGAAGGAATGGGGGGCTAATTGACCTATCCATGCCCCGCCCAAATGCATTTTTTATCATAGATACTGTTGCCAGGTCAGACAAGCTTTACAGAATGCAGGCAAAAATTCCATTTAACACAGTGAGAGACTGTAGCACACAACCCAATTTTTGTTAAAACACTCAAGTCCAAAATGTCTGCATAATTTAATCCTTAAGATGTAAACAAAGTCATTCACACTGTCTCTCTGTTCTAGAGTGAGCAAAATGAGTCAGATGAGTCAGAATTGTTGGCGGATCCTTTGAATAACAAAGTTGTTAAGGAGCTGTTCTCTTTTATATAAGACTGTTGCTACATGCCAGATGACACTGCTGCACCCTGAATTGACCAGCAAACCTACCAAAAAACTAGCACGCTTTGTCAAGAGAGGTAGTTAAATTGCTTTGACAGAAGTAGCTACAGTTTGAGCAGTTGCTGTTGGCATATAATAGCGTTGAAGCTTAATGATAGATTGTAGCATGTATGTAGAAATTAAAAGTAAAAATTCACGATTCAGAGGATCTAGCAACATTTAGGAGAATGTATTGACTTGACATTTTTGTTTACCACAAAATGCATTTATTTTTGCCATAAAGGAACCAGCTTAGAACCGGACTTCCTAATGTGAACATGATATCAAGTACCAAATGACGACAGGACTTCAGAGGTCTAGAACGCGTTTGTGGGCGGAGCATGGACTAGTGAATTGAGACTAATTGGTAGACTGATTTTATGGGGTCCAAAATTAAGTTTATATAGAAAATTTGCTAACATTCATAGCACTGGCGGTTATGCAGGCAAAACACGTATCAGCTTCATGTTTGCTTGGTTTACCATGGTAATATAATTTGAATTGGTAAAGATTTTCTTCCAAAAGCCATCAATTTGTAGAGAAACCTTTGATGTCTATATATATATATATATATATATATATATATATATATATATCCACTTGTTTAATCCATTGATGGGCTCATATTTTTCATTTTAGTTTTTCCCCTCTGGCCTTTTTTTTACATTTGTGTGATTTTCTGTATCAAAAATAGTCTTAATTAATTCTTACATGACTATCTTTCGATCTCTCTTTATAAATTAGAACTAAACAGACTGTTTTTGTTACTGTGCCTTTAAGATGTATGTAAATGAGCAGTTCTGATTGGCTGCCCTGTATTGTGCCTTATTAAAGAAACAGTCTGAGCTGAAACAGTGTCAGTGTGAGTGGGTGGGGCCAACCTACTGTTGGCTGAATGCAAATGAGTTTGTTCCTGTGGCAACACAGAAACAGTAAATTCAAAACAGGGCATATTTAAATGAACTATATGAAGTGGGAGGTGAGTAGCATGTCTTGAAACTTTAACAACATTTATAAGTCACACTTCATTTGGATGGTCCCCTATAGATCTACAGTTACGCCTATTATTAACAAACTTTTGGTGATACCAAATTGATGTTCAACAGCATTATGGTCAAGATTAGGTTTAGGAGTGGGCATAGGTTTTGCCTTGAGATTAGTGTCAAGGAACAGATTTAATAGAATCTTTCAGACACAACTTCAAGGTCAGTTGCATTTAATAGGTATTTAGTTGAAAGTTAGTAAATAGACTGAGCATCTACAGTGGACCGTCCAAATAAACCGTTTCCCATTTACACAATACACTTGTTTATTTAAAAACAGTCCAAATTTCTATAATACAGGTAATACATTTGGTAGTGTTTCAGTAGTGCTATAATAGGTTTGACAGTGACAAAATGAAATGTTCAATCATTTATTTTAATATAATAAACATAACTGAGGTATAGGGTCACTCAAAGCAAAAGAATTTAAGTCTAAACTCCGAGTCAGTTAAAAGTCAGAAACTTTGTTCCGTAGAATGATCCATGTAATGACCTACTGCTAAACTATGTCTCAGACATCAGGTATCATATTCATAACCATTTTGTGTAATAGCTTTCTGTAAGGGAGGCATTAACCACTCAAGATGCTAAAGCAAACTGTCATAACACTGAGCAATAATTAAACATAACTAAAACAAAAATGGACATAAAATCAGAGAGATCAAAGCCTTTGGTGCCTATCCACACTCATACTGGGCTGGTCTCTGTTACTGTCACATTACTAATGATCAAGTAATGACGCAGAGATGATGAAGCTGTGGATGATACCAACAAGCAGGTCTTGCTTCATGCTTCTGTGTCATAAACTATGAGTTCCTCATTCGATATTCTGTATCATTAGTAAGAAGAGGCTTTCAAGCATGAAGAGGACAAAGTAATTTCCTTTGTTATACTCAGAGGTAAACATTGCCTGGTGCCCCAGGTTTAATGTTTCACATTCTATATTCTTTAAAATTGAACAGGCTGTTTTTGTTACTGTGCTTCTAAGGCTGTTATATGTAAATGACCTCTGTTCTGATCATCTGCCCTGTATTGTGTCTTATTCAAAAAAGCTGGGCTGAAACACATAACTTCAGCTTAAATGGGCGGAGCTAAAGGGCTACAGGCTGACCAGGTGGATATATGAAAATAGATTGTCTTCTGTGACACCACAAAAAAAGTACATATAAAAGAGGCTGTTAGTTTTCATTTATGGACTTCGTGGACTGACATTTTGAAATTTATCTGTGATTACATCCCACATTAAAGTCTTAAAAGTGAGGACTTTAGGACTACATGATGTGAGGACTACATAAAAGTGAGGAGAATTCAGTGTTTCAAGATAAGGCCCCTTAAAATAAAGCTGCTGTTACACTGCAAGGCTGTGATTGCAGCAACTAAACAGTTTCTAATGAAATAACTCGGATGAACGGATGATGTCAGAGTGGGCAGGCTCGGTAGGGAGGACCAGCACAGTCACTACAATGGCAATGTTATTCAATAATGTAAGGATTTTAATAAATATCCTTTTTCAAAGCAATACATACTCATTAATTGCAAATACAATGTAATAAACATGTTTCTATTATTCTGGCCACCAATTCTTCATCTCGGCCACAAGATTTGGCACATTGTTATAGCTGTCCACCCCCACTTGTACTGGTTATCTACTGATGACCACTGAAAAGCAGGTCAACTTTGCTATAGGTGCAGTCGTATGCAAAACATTTGGACATCCTTGGTCAAATGACACGTTTTGTTGATTTTCTATGTGATACATCCTCTACAGAAAACACACTTCTCCACATTTATGGCACAATTACTGTTAATTTGCTGAATTTAACATATTGGGAAAATATAAAACCTAAAATGCGGCCTGTGTAAAAGTTACAGCACATTTTATATCGTATGTTTTATTTCCAAAATGTTGAACTCAGCAAATAAATAGAAATTGTGCACTAAAATTTGCAGTAAAGTGCCATATTTACATTCCCTGTGGAGGATGTGTTTACTTATTTTCACTTAGAAAATCAACCATGCCATTTGACCAGACATTTTCAAACTTCTGCATACAACTGTTTATAGAGGTCAGACAGAAAATAAAGGGCACCTTAACCTCATACAGTGCTCTTTTAGTACAGCAGCTATGTGGAAACATCTGCTGAGTAATGTTGGAACACACTTTCCTGTAATTATTATGTCAGCAGTGCAGCCACACACCCTCACGCACCCTCCCCACACACACATTCACACGTACTTAAGACAGTGCCTGGAGAGTCTGGAGTACGTGGTGGCTGGGACACAGTCACTGGACGACATCGTCATGGCGGAAGCCAACTGGAGCCCACAAGATCTGATTACCAAATCTCAGGAAGCTAAAAAATTCTCCTACAGTCCATACAGCAAGTTCAGAGTAGGAGCAGCGCTGCTTACGACTGATGGAGCTGTCTTTACTGGTGAGGAGCATTAAGATTCTAGAGACTCAATCACAACAGATGTCTCAAACATTTACTTAAGGAATAGGGCACTCAAGGTCATGTGTTAACAGGAATAACATCGCTGGCTGTAATTTGGCTGCTGCAGAGGTATTTGTCAATGTTTAAAAAATCATAATCATGTAAACAGTCATTCAGAGTAGTTTGATGTGAAATGATCCCTTGTAGAGAAACTTATTATTCAAATTGTTCACAGTGGTGGCGATAGGAACCAGACATCCAGAAGACCTTAATGCCTTTAATTCTACCTATTCTCACTTATTTACTGCTGTCAGTTCAAAATGGTCTGCACAATTAAATGGTTTAGATGTAAATAAAGTCTTTCCAAGTGGTTTGGTGTGAAACGCTTCATTATAGAAAAACGTCAGCGCGAGAATTGTTCACAGTGGTGGTGAAAGGAACCAGACGTCTGAAGTCTTTAATGCCTCTAAAATGCAGTGCTGTGAGGCAAAATTGACCCCAAAGGAAACTTTCCAACTATTTTAACATTTTCAACATTACGTACAGAAACTCAGAAGACACGTGTAGGTTCACTGGTTGTGTTGGAAAGTAAATCACATATTACAATTTCTGTATTATTATTACTATCACTAAAATGCTGCTCAGTTACTATATTTGTGGGGTTTTTTTTTAACACATTCACAGTGGGGTGGTACATGAAGGCAAAACAATGGCATTTACCCCTATCTTACTAGTATACACAAAACTCAAAAGACATATTTAGGTTCACTGGTGGTTTTGGATAGTAAACAAAATGGCTATATTATTGTTTTAGACATTGTGACACCTGGTTCCTATCACCACTGTAAAGAAATGTGAGACGGTAAGCTTCTCTACAGTGAACCATTTCACATTAATTCACTCTGAAAACAATCTCTTCCTCCAAAAAAGTAGTTCCAGCAGCTTTGCATGAACAGCTATTGTTGTTACTTTGCAGCTGGCGGTGAGTGGAACGATGAAGTATGATGACAAAAACCTGCTGTTATCAGATGTAATAACACTGGATAGAACTCTTTTTTAACCAATCAGATTGGATGACTGGAACTGCTGTATAAAATGTAAATAACACAGCATAAGGAAATTGAGAATACATGTAAGACCTGGTGCCGGCACTTGTTCTAGATAACAAAGCTATGTAGCTTCAGAGCAACTTTGACATTTCCAGCAAGAATAATTCTAAACACGACAAATCCCTGAATGTTTCCCAAAGGAAAGTTCTAAAGACTCATTTGTAGCATAAAACTATTCAGCGTTAATGATTGACACAAATGTGACTTATATTATTCCTCCAAATGCTGGTGGTGTACAATGGGTCCATTGTGAGTGAACAGCTGAGGAAATACAATCAGGCACAGAGAAAAGTGACAAATGACAGTAAAGCTGATTGTTTTACTTTTATTTCTGTACCATTTCTACATTGTATTGGTACATGAAACTAAATTGAGGCACGCCACATTAGATTACTTGTTTTTAAACATAGTGTTGCTTTACTGTCATGCGCTCTCAGTGTTCTCCTGGACAAACACTGTTAGCTCTTCTACAACTAAGCAGCCTCTAACTGAAATATATTTAGTGAAATACTAAATATATTTCAGAAAATGTAAATATATTTTTAATCATCTCTGTAAGTTTAATCAAATAACGTACCAGACCACCACTGATTTGTTGAGTGTCATGTGATAGATGTTGACATAATAATGAAAAAATTACTGTAAACTGAAAATGAGATCATACCACAGGCAAGAAACAACACAATATGAGATCATACAAGAGACTTTTTTAAAATTTCTGCATAATTGGTTTGATGTGAAATGGTTCATCATAGAGAAACTTACTTCAATTTCTTTACAGTGGTGGTGATAGGAACCAGGGGTCACTATGTGTACAATGCAAATCTAGCCATTTATAGCTCAGCTCAAAACCCTTGTAAAACAATTTCTCAGGCATCAAGAAGCATATTCATCTCCATTCATCGCAATGGTTCTCTGTGAGTTAGCTTTAAACACTACAGACGTTGCTATTACCACCACTTGGTCCATTTACCTATTAAGCATTTCACATCAAACCACTCTGAATGACTGCGTTTACATCTAAACCATTTAATTGTCCAGATATTTTAAATATAATGGAATTTGACTTTAAGTATATCCTGCTATGAACTGGAATCAGTTTGAATCAAAGGCTTAATCACTGAGCCGTGTGTCATTGTGACTGTATTTTCATAGTCAATGCTGTATTTTTGGTTGAGTTGCTGAAATCTAGGATCATTTTTCTTGCTCCCTCTACAGGATGCAATATAGAAAACGCCTGCTACAATCTTGGTATCTGCGCTGAGAGGACTGCGATCTCCAAAGCCGTGTCAGAGGGACATAAAGATTTCAAGGCCATTGCTGTAGCAAGGTGTTAATTCAACCTCATTGTGATGATATGACACGATCATGATGATACAGATTACAATGATATGATACTTAAATGCTGTTTTCATGTGTCTTGGACTGTTTAATTGATCATCTTCCTTCATCTTCCTTAGTGACATGGTGGACCGCTATATCTCACCGTGTGGTGGTTGCAGACAATTTCTGAGAGAGGTTAGTTTCCATTATGTTAGTTGATCGTGCAGTAAATGCAGGACACATTTCTGCTTCTTCTGGACAGCCCAACATTCTCAAATGTAATAAAACCCCACAGAGCTGTAACCTGTAACCTATAACTCTGAGTGACACTTGTGGGGTCTTCCTTTACTTGCAGTTTGGCCTGGAGTGGGATGTTTATTTATCGAAGCTGGATGGGACTTTCATAAAGATGACAGTAGAGGAGCTCCTTCCAGAGTCCTTTGGCCCTAATGACCTGAAAAGGAAGAAAGCAGTTCCTGTTGAGAACCAAAAAACATGTTATCTAGAAAAACAAAACCAAGAGTAAATCATCCGTTACAGGTTCCTATCTTACAGGTCTATGTATCATATTAAAATATCATTAAATTACTATTATTTGCTTGTATATGCTGAGGTAAAAGCAGTGGTGTTCCTAATCTTTTAGGAGGCCATTAAACAAAACCTTCTTACAGGCCCCCACCGAACACCATTCACCTGTCTTATTAATGCATTGCGTGGTTCTTTTTTTGAGCCCAAACACAGAAACTGACCAATGAGGGCTGCTGATTTTGAGATGATTAGCTACTTGTATCTTGAGTTCTCTCGGAATTTACTGTTATCTGTAACTTGCTTTTTACCTCTACACTTATATTTATTAGGTTGGTACACTGCTAGGAAATAAATAAAATAAAACACCCAAATAAAATTGTGCTACTGTATTAAAATGACATAAAAAGTGATGTGTTGTTTTTTTCTCTGTACGTGATTAAATCTGTTCTTCATTTCCACATGAATAAAATATTACATCAGTATAATTATTGTAGAAAGTAAACTGAAAGATAAAATCATATTGATGTAATGTCTGAAACATTCATGCATTTCAGTCATTCATTAGGAAATGATGTATTTGATGATGTACATTAATTCATGAGTCTTATGGTTAGAAAGCTATTCAGACAGCATTGTATAAGGTAACCTAAAACACATACATTCATTCAACTGTAAAAAAGTATTTAGTTAGCATGATACTTGCTTATAGCTGACAAATCTTTGAAAATGAACTTATCGTATTATTTAATAGCGATTTAATAGTGTAGCTCACAGAGCAGCACTGCTGAAGGGACCCAGTGCACATTCATTCGCCCGTTTGCTGAGCAAATTAATGTATCACAGCAACATACACCAATTATAAAATTACTTGTGATATAACTCTGACTGGTAGCCCAGTGGCATAAGCATAATTGATGCTTTATTGATGATGGCTGACTGTCTGACTTATAGTCTCACTTTCCACAACTGGGGTGACCAGAGAGGTAGCCATGCTTCCTTCTGGAGTGGCACTGGCCACCGGTGGACACCTCTTGGCTACGCCCTAGAACCATATCTGAGCCAGATTTATATTGGGATTTAGTGTGACTTTAATCATATTAGAAGTGAACATGTAATTTACCTTGGTGATCCTACAAACATGTAACCCCTGCACTGAGACAACCCTGCTAACTGCTGCACCATACCACTACTGCCAGCATCAGGCTAGCTACCCTCACTGCAATACAGAAAGTCCATAGAGTTTAATCCAAATCCTATTATCATGGCCCAGGGACAGAGTCAGTAGAGTCGGGCCTGTAACAGTCACCACTGCAAGTTACTTGTATTTTCTGACTGTTGATGCTACAGACTTAATATAAAGACCAGAACCAAGGCCTCTGAGAAGATTTTACGTGGGACAGTGCTCTCTAATTTCTCTTAACCTTTTGTGGAAAATGTGAGACAATGTGTAACACAAATCATTAACACATCACAGTTTTAACTGAAATATAATTACATTTCTGTATTTTCAGCATAAGATTAAGCTAATTACCATCCTTTTGGACCTTATGCTCTGTACGTTTTTAACAAAGCCAACTCAGGACACGAAAAGCACATGTTCATGGTTTAAATCAGGTGTAACAGAAGAAGGAAAGCACTGGAAATGTATTCATATGCATGTGACTTTTATTTTGACATAACTTCAAAAAAAAAAGTCAAATTGAGTCAAAAAAACACGTACTACTACATGATACTATGCAGTCAACTATACGTTACAATTCATACTATACTAATTAATATTCTGCTAATGGCGATATACTATTTTGACATACGGTTTTTGGGGCAGCTGGTCGAATAACAATAACAACACATGTCACGTGACTCCGGGCGTAAACACTGTCCTCCATATGTAGCTGTCACTGGCACTGTTGAGGAGGCGCTGAGTTTACTGAGTTTTAAACGCGTGAATTTCACCATTTGGTAAAACATGTCGGTGAAACACGCCCTCGGTCGGGGTCTGGAGCTGGGCAGGTCTATTTTCCAGCTCGGTATCCTAAAACCGGCCGGCCGGGTAGCAGCGAAGTTCCGCGGAGAGCGGCTGCGGTTAGGCCCCGCGGCCCGGACCGCTCAGCCTCAGCCTCAGCCTCTCCTGCCCGCTCGGTACCGATATTTCCGCATGTCGCTCCGCGGCCTCGCTGCGCAGCTCCAGGCGGCCGGGTTTAGGAGGCTGGCCGGGGGCGGATCCCCCAGGAACAGGGCCGTTTTCCTGGCTTTCGGTGTGGGTTTGGGTCTGATCGAGCAGCAGCTGGAGGATGACCGGAGGAGTGCAGCAACATGCCAGGAAATTCAGGTAACATAGCTGGCCTCGCTTAGCTAGGTTAGCTAATTACGTAACTACTTGTAACTAACAGCCAGCAGACAGTTTAGTCAGTGCAGCTGAGATATTAAATACTATAAAACAACATTTTAGATGTTAAGATGTGTGACGAAGAAAGACAGGAACGGCCATTCCTGTTAGTGTTTTGTTTATCAACTTGTACATTGAATGCGAATACGGGACGCACTATGAAAGATGATTCTTTTGTAAAGGCGCTGGTTTTACTTAGAACCATGAGTTCTTTATGAAGCTATTTGCATGCGTGAATGGTTCTTTGCATAATGATATGGTTCTTCAGATTGATGAATGTGTTGTGTGTTGTGCGTGTGTGTTTTTTTAATGGTTCTATATAGCAGCAAAAAGCGTTCTGGTATTGCTACGATGTTAAGCTTGTAACAATAGAAGAACCCTTTTTGTATTTTGGGTGCTATACAGAACCATGAACAACACATTCTTTGTAAATCTAAAGAACTATTTCGCCATGCAAAGAACCATTTAGGCATGCAAAAGTTTCTGTAGAGAACTCATGGTTCTAAATAGAACCATTGCCCTTAAACCCTTGAAGAACCATCAAGTGTGCACTATTTCACCTTGAGACACCATCTCCATATGAGATTAAGGGTTGGATAGCGATTCTCCATTGAAAAGAATACATAGTGCAGGACTAGTCTTCATCCCTGTCTGGGAAACTGACCCTGAGTGTTTAGCAGACTGTGCTTTCAGTGGGGATAATTCTGGTTGTAATATAAACTTGTATTCATGTTCTGTTAGGGGCGATATCGCCACACATCAACAACTCGTAAAGAAATATTTGTAGGAATTTCACAGAATAGACTAGAACACCTGTAAAAGTGTTGCTACTTCAATGAACTAATGACTCAGGAAGAAGTAAATGTGGCTACCAAAAACATCTTGAGTAAAAAAAGCATGAGGTCAAAAACTAAGTACTGAGCTTACTGTAAAACTGGAGTGAAACTGATGCAACATCTAGAAGCACATTGTTAGATGCTATTCTTTCCTAAATTAAATGCTAAATAAAGTGGTAACAGCTACAAAGCAGTCCAGGAGCTGTCACTAATAGACCGAATAAAAAAGTGACAAAAAAAAGGAATTAGGAACTAATTTGAAGGACTGCAGTCGAACTGAAGACAAATTTGATTATTAAGTTTACAGTACAAATCTTTAGAACAAAATTAGTTATTAAGTTTGTTTTATCCATGCATGTTTAATTACTCAAATAGATATTTCATCTTTTTCTTTTGTTTCCCCATGAAGGCATTATTCAGGAAGAAGAAGTTCCAGAGCCCACTAAAGCCATTCACCTCAGGGTATAAGCTGGAGAACTATGTGATTGGCAAGCAGATAGGAAAAGGCTGCAATGCTGCTGTATATGAGGCTGCTGCTCCTTTTGCACCACTCAGAGAGAGCACCACATGTTCGCTGGTGGAGCTGAAACTGAATGGAGAAGAAACCAGCGTCTCAGAGTCCCTAAGATTCCCCAGTACAGCCAGCTACCCACTGGCAGTGAAAATGATGTGGAACATTGGGGTAGGCGGCAAAGGCACTATGAATTAGACACTGTATTGCAGGAGTAAATGATCTTATTTGGTTTCTTGGATTTGTGGATTGTGTTTTTGTCATGTGGTTCAAGAAGAAATCAAATCTACAACCTCCAGTCTGTTGATGTATTTCAAAATAACAGTAGCTTATTGCTCAAAAGCATATTTCCTGTGACTGCATTGCAGGCGGGATCCTCTAGTGAGGCTATCCTTAATTCCATGTCCCAAGAGCTGGTCCCTGCGAGCCCTCAGGCTCTAAAGAAGGAGAAGGGAGAGCTTGTCCTGAGTGGGTGAGTCTATGTGGTCCAAACCTGAATACCTGAATACAGCCCAAGAACTTCCTGTCAGACCTTGGTCCTGACCCAACTCAAGCACATCATCAAGATCCAAACTCAGTCCAAGTCTGAAAAAAAATGTGTTTGAACCCGACCACATAATTAAAAGTCTATTATTACCCAAAGTGAAGAAAAAAAACTTACATTTTTTAGTGATAGCGCTGGTTAAATTACTGTGTATGTCAATAACAACTGTCATTACATCATAGACAATTCAAAATTAAATTAAATATAATATGAAATAACTATATAATAGAACATTTCGCTGTCCGAAGTTTAAATTCTGCTTAGAGTACTGCTTCTGAAGAACAACCCAATTATTTTTCAGTATTGACAAACTTTCCACAATGCGCTGTTCTCATGCTATATGGTGCTGATATAGCAGGATGTTGGCCTTTACCTGTTTAATCCTAAGAGTCTTTTTGTACAATTTTGTACAGTACTTTTTTACATAGAACATATGTGTAAAAGTTACAGTGAGTTTAGAGCACTCTGCTCTCTTCGCAGTCATTTCGGGAGTGTGCCAAAGAGAGTGACCGCTCATCCCAACGTCATCAGAGTGTACCGGGCTTTCACAGCTGAGGTTCCACTGCTGCCCGGTGCTGAAGAAGAGTATCCAGCTGCACTGCCCAGCAGGCTCAAACCCTGCTGGCATGGGCAACAACCGCACCCTCTTTCTAGTCATGAAGAAGTAAGTCACCAAAGAGATCCACTCTTCACTCACATGTGAGGTATCACCCTTTTCTTATATAAGGGCCATACTGTTGCTGGTGGAGCAAATCGCTGTATCTCCGAAATGATTACAGGAGAAAGAAGAACTTTCTTAACTTTAAATGTAAGTTAATGTAAGAAGTTGTTTTTCCCAAGTAGTTTTGGACCATTTCTGTTGGTCCATTCATCGTGCAATTTTAACACAATGTTAACTGGACTTTTCAAATGATACAAAAAATGAAAAACTAAATTGGAGATACAAGGCCTTTGCACAACAGCGACTATATTCTACATTTTTCTTATAATATTTGAGTGGCTTTATATACCAAAAGCAGTTGAAATTCATCAGGAAATTCTGAAATTTCACTGCCAAACTATTCCCAGTCTGGGAGCAGCACATTAGCTCCAGCAGAACTGTTCCATCTGGGCAGTGTAGGGTTTAGTGCCTTGCCCAGTGGCACCACAGGGAATATTCATTAGCTCTGGGATCTGAACTTGCAGCCTTCTGGCTCACCTCTCCTACCACTAAGCTACCAGCCACTTTTAGATGTGCCTAAATACTTTGTAGAGTGCTGAATGAGAGTTAGCCTGGCTTTCCTCAGATTGGAGTTTTCTCAGAGTAAAAACCTTCACTTTGGCTTAAAAAAGGACAAATGACAGTAATAGTTCTGATAAAAGCCGATATTTGATCCGTGCTGATCAGTGTTGTTGTCCTGCAGTTACCCATGTACGCTGCGTCAGTACCTGGAGGTGTGTGTGCCGGGCCGCAGGCAGGGCTCCATGATGCTGCTGCAGCTGCTGGAGGGCGTGGACCACCTGTGCAGGCAGGGCATCGCACACAGAGACCTCAAATCAGACAATGTGCTGCTGGAGTTTGACTCAGGTAAGTGCTACAACACAGAATCACGTTCATGCTTGTCCTAACACAACCAATGGTGGACAATTACAAGAGACATACACTGAACGGCCACTTGGTTAAGTACACCTCCTTGTATCTACTCTCTTTGTCCATTTTATCAGCTCCACTTACCATATAGATGCACTTTTTAGTTCTATAATTACAGACTGTAGTGGATCGTTCTCAGCACTGCAGTGACACTGAGGTGGTGGTGTGAGAGTGTGTGTTGTGCTGGTCTGAGTGGATCAGTCACAGCAGTGCTGCTTGACTTTTTAAACACCTCAGTGTCACTGCTGGACTGAGAATAGTCCACCAACAGCGTCCTGTGGGCAGTGTCCTTTGACCACTGACAAAGGACTTGAGGATGACAGTGACTGGACACAGTATTTTAAACTCCAGTAACACTACTGTCTGATCCACTCACACTAACATTTAACGTATGTTAAAATTTTGATTACTAGGGTACATGTTACATGATGTTAATTCTGTAAGTGAAAGTAAGTTAACACATCCTCTACACATTATCTAAAGTTGTAAGTTTTATGCCATTTTTCTGTGAATTTTAGTGCACAATGTTAAATTCAGCCAATAAACAGTGATTGAGCATTAAACTGTGCAGAAATGTGTTCTCTGTAGAGCTTAGAAAATCAACAAAACATGTTATTTTAACCAGGAGCACCCAGACTTTTGCACATGACTGTACTTGTGATGTATTGTGACAGTAGAAAAATGGAGCTTAGACCTATATTTACAAAACCTTTCAGACTGCTGCCCTATCTTTTTTTTTTCATATTTATTTTAAACCCTAATCAATTCAAGCTGGGAAGCAATACTATTCTAGATTTTCCTGGTCTGTGTTCTATGAATACTCTCCTTTAAAAACATTTTGACAGTTATATTTTTGTCCTAAAGTTGGCTGCCCCAGGCTGGTCATCACTGACTTTGGCTGCTGCCTGGCAGAGGAGGCCTTGGGCCTGAAACTGCCCTTCACCAGCCGCTGGGTGAACAGAGGGGGGAACGCCTGCCTAATGGCACCTGAGGTAACATGATGGCATTCTTTTAAACACTCCCTGCAGGTGAAATCTAATCCTAGTTACTGATACAGGTGGAAATCCTTACTGATGTTGAAAGTTTCCAAGACCAAGATTAATCTGTTTCCATAAAGCAAAGCCTTCAAATCTATTGTTTTTCAGTAGCTTAGACTTTCACTTTTTCTCATGGTGGACACATTTCAACTTTAGCTTATTTAAAAATGACTGTTCACCCACAAACTTAATTTATTCACTTATCTTGCAAGTCCTGTTTTATTGACTTATATTTGTAAACTACATCCATTCAGCCATAACATTTTGTTTAAGTACTTTGCATAACCTTGTTATCTCAAGCAGATTGCCTGTTTGCTGATATCTGTCTAGCCCAGTACAGTCCTACTCTCTGTATTCTCTCTGCAAATGAACTTGAATGCAAAATGAATGTAAATGTCCGTAGGTGGCTACAGCTGTACCAGGTCCTGGTGTGGAGATTGACTACAGTAAGGCAGATGCATGGGCAGTGGGGGCCATCGCGTATGAAATCTTCGGTCAACCCAACCCGTTTTACAGCCCTGAAGGCCTGGAGAGTCGCAGTTATCAGGAGAAGCAGCTGCCAAGGTTGCTAGCCAGTACACCTGAGCATGTGCAGCTGGTGGTAAAGCTGCTTCTGCGCAGGAATCCGAACAAGGTGGGCATGCTCCTGGTTTTAAGGTACAGTCCGGTTAAACTTTGATAGTTGGTTATACTTTTTAACTAAGATTAATTCTTTTGCACTCTCTGACTTCCCGTCCCAAGTCTTTCATTCACCAACTCCTCTTTATTGGTTTCTGTAGCGTCCTAGTGCCCGCGTGGCTGCTAACGTCCTGCACCTCAGCCTGTGGGGCAAGCGAGCTCTGACCAGCCTGAACCCAGCCAGCATGGGGAAGATGGCAGACTGGCTGCTGTGCCAATCAGCTGTGGTGCTCCTGAAGGGCTGCGGGCCCAGAGGCAGTTCTGTGGAGGCCGAGCTCCAGAGAGGATTCCTCTCCAACCTGGACCTGGAGGAGCTCCGCATGGCTGTAGGCTACCTGATGTATGGACGAGAGCTGTGGCAGAGCGCTGATGTCTAAGGAGACACTATAGGGCCTGTTTACAACTTGTGATAACATGCATTTTCGGTGATCGGATAATGTTCGGATTTCACTTGACCACATAAAAAGCCAGGTGTAAATGCTCCCACGACGCACTGTGTTCAGATTAGTCAGATCACTCAAACCACATTCAGAAGTGGCCAGAGTCGGATCTCCACTGTGTTTAACACAAGTGTAAACAGAATGTGTATAATTAGCAGGTGAGATTTTAAACAAGGAAACTAAAGATGGAGGACACGTGAGACTGAGGTTAGCCCCAACCCAACGGCCTTCATTCTCTCCAGGCCGAGCTTATCGATGCATATCATAACGCGAAAAGAGTAAACAGAAGTAAAATGGAAACAACGTATGTGCTGACGTGCTTTTTACATGGGAAAAGCACAATTGGAGTTCGTCACAGTGGCGACGCATTTTAGTAAAAAGCGTAAATTTAATCTGGCCAAAGTTTATCCAGATACAGTCCTGACTCAAAACACATGTTAATGCATGGTGTAAACAGGCTCTATATATTGTAATAAGCTGTTTCTGTTTTAAGGTTCGGCTCCAGCACCCCACCGCGATCCCAGAAGGATAAGCAGTTGAGATGATGTATGTATGTATGTATGTTTTAAGGTTCTGGCCTTTAGAGGTAAATGAAATGTTTGCCCACAAATAAGATTTAAAGCACAGAAATTTGCTGCTTTCTGATCTACCATAAGCTGTGGAAGCTCTACAATCTGTTGATGTAATAGCACTTTATGTACTTGCACCTTTTTGCCACTCTCCTCCTTTGTGACCTAGTCATGAAATATAAAGTAACACAAAACAGTCTGGTAATATGCTGCTTCTGACTTAGCTAAGTTCTCTGTATATAGCAGTTCTTGTTTTACGGGTTTTCAATAGGTTGTGCTAAGTCTAGTTAATTGCCAGAACACGCAAAATCAAAATGCCCTCAATTCTGTTTTTGTTCATTACATGTTTATCACACAAAGCAATAAACTCCCTGTGTCATTTTACTTACTGTTGTCATGTTATCTGTTGGCCAATCAGCTAAATATGAAAATAATAAAACAAGCCAACATTATTGCCTCAAGGAACTTTGAAACCATATAATTCTGGTCATAAACACCTTAGAGCCTGTGATCGGTGATCAAGGCTTCTGTTCAGGTGCCCCTCATCTTCAGAATGCACAAGCTGACTAATTGTGGGTTCCACATCATTAAAAAGCTGCCCCCAGATAACTGAATTTTCATGTCCTGCTTTTCCTTCATTTTGCCTGGTGGGATGGCCACACCATTCGCATGACTACTAAATCAGACAAAATCAAACAAAGCAGATATGAACGCAAGTTTCATTCAGCTAGTCGTATACAGTCACTGGCTTTTTTTAAAACTGCCTTTAAGAGGAATTGCATTTTTTTTTACATTTCTGCATAATACAGTCAGTAATATATAAACAAAGTAATTCAGAGTGTTACCATGTGAAGTGGTGCATTGTTGAGAGACTCTCTGACTTTTCTTTACAGTGGTGATTATAGAAAGCAGATTTCTCAATGTCTGACAACACAAATTTAAACATTTTATTTACTATCCAAAATGACCAGTGAACCTACATGTGTTTTTTTGTTTTTTTATATGTAATGTTGATAATGGTAAAACTATGGAGCCCATAAGATGATGCGTGGTATTTATTTTACAATAGGATATAGTCATAAATTAATATATTGAGGCCAAGAGTGAAGTTTCTCATAACTCATGGCCTCACTATATTAAGTTGTGGCCTCAATATATTAATTTGTGGCCACATCTTATAACAAAAAAACAATGGGGCTCTGTAAAAATCTGCGTTTTTTTTTCTTTAAGTACACTATTGTCTTGCAGTGCCTTGCATCTACCTCTCTGCCATGAATTGTTTTAAAAAAATATGTTTTAGGTCAAACTTTATCTCAAAACTTTCAAACTCAACTATAATAGTATAATAGTAACACTAAGTTTATTTAAAAACGGACTTAAATACGTTTTATTTAAAAAGCTGTTATAATGTCACTTTATTTTACTTTATTTTTACCTTATTGTCTTTTTTGTAGTGTTTTTTCCTAAATATCATGGTGTTGTGGCTTTTATTGTTTCATTGAGTTTATCTTCGTAGCACCTTGAGATGTACATTTAAATGAAAAGGTGCGCTGGAAAAACTGCTACGAATTATAATTCAGATCGACGAATGAACTACATTTCCCATGAACCACAGCGGCGGGAAACGCCCCCATGTACTGTAATCTATCCGAGTACCAAAGTTTAGCGAAATTAGGTCAGCTCGGGGGGCAGATACTGTACAAGATTGTGAGGTGACTTTCCAAACGTGGATAAAATCTTAGAAAAGGTGTATAAAAAGGAAACGACGCCAGTTTTTTCACGCTCCGTGCAGATACTTGTTTGTGCAGTGAGATAAAACTCATCATGCTGAACCTTCTCAGTGTGGTAAACGGTGGTCGAGTCTTCAGAGGGATTCACCGTCTAAAGCCATGTCTGTCTCAGTGCGCACTGCAGGCAGGAGGCCGGCTGGAGGGAGCGGATCTGAACGTTGCTCCGAGAAGGCTGATGTCTGAGAAGCGGTTTAATGTCCCACCCAGCGCGGAGTTTGTGGCTCGAATGTCTGGAATAGCGACCATGGCCAAGTTGCCGTACCAAGAAACGGCTGAAGGACTGGACGCAGCGTTTATAGGGGTGCCCATCGACACCGGCACCTCCAACAGGCCTGGGGCAAGGTTAGAAAACGCATGACCAGCAGCTCAGGAGCGCTGTCTGACCTCACTGCTGGAGTGGACAACTGATTTGATTTTTTTTGCATAGTCAGAACATTCAAGTCAGAATTTTCCCTGAGACCGCGTTTCCCAGCTCCACCTGCGCCGAGGGGTGGGCGATATGGCAAAAGTATTGTATCACGATACTTCAACACATTTTCACCATACCAGACTTTTTCAAAGAGGGCCAGTTCATACCGACACCTGAGGGCTGAAATATTACTCAGAAGTTATTAAAAATATGACATTTTCAAAATCAGCGCGTAGTATCAGAGCTTTCTGTGAGCTACCGTTTCCTATCACTGTGTAAAAGATGCAGGAGGCTTATTTCATTGTTGGTTTGCTCAAAGAAATTTGGTTTGATAAGCGTTTACAAAATTGTTTAACAATAAAATGTCTTATGTATTACATTCCTATTGAAGTGTTTACTTGTTTAAAAATATCTTTGAGACAAACTAAACAAAAAAATGTACATTTTCGGTTTAGTTAGATCATCTTCTTTACGTATAAATTAACTACAGCACCCGCATTCAGAAATCACTTTATCAGATGAGTAGCCGTAATTTTACAGCACTGCTGCCACCATCAGGTGAAAGGAAGAACTGCAGTGTGTTGAGTGATGAGCCATTATAACACAACAGAAGCTGCGGGCCACATTTGGCCCCGAGGCTGGACTTTGGACACCCCTGCAGTACACAGTATAAATCGCGATATTTCATTTTTCAGATATTTAATAAGTTGGAACAGACAAAATAGAACCTGTAGTGCCACATGTAAAACACTACAATTATAATAATAAAGATAATATTAAACCTAGAATTACTATGATTTCTATTCAGTGTTTTACAAACTGCACTGCAATAATTCTAGTTAAACAGGCCTAATTATGCTCATTTTGTAACGAAACACTATCCATGATATTCTCAGAAGAGCGTGTTGTGACATGATTTATCAAGATAACGATAAAATACTGTCATATTGCCCATCCTGCATGCACTGTAAAGTTTTCTCTGCACCTCAGTGACACTGTTAGTTATTCCTAAATCCTGTTTGAGCTGAATCAGACTGCCACAGCAGCAAAACATGAAAAAACAGAGCAGTGCAGGTGGATTACAGGGCTAGAGTTGGGAAACATTAATCTTGTATGCTCATATATGCTCCTGCACCTGATATTAATTATGACTTACCATTTAAATCATTACTTTTGGAATCACTTATCATAGAACTATAAAGACTTTAAACAGTGCAGATTTGAACAAATATAAGTTTATAAGCCTTTATAAGTGTTTATAGATGTTTGATCAAATATTATGTAATGGGGGACAGTATAAAGACATTAAATGATGTTATTTTTTGTCTTTTTTGTCCTCTTTGTCTGCTTTGAGACATCACTGCTTTAGAAATATGATCAATTCTGCATATTTATTTTATTATTACTTTTATTATGAATCTACACCTCCATTTGTCATTCTGAAGACATCTAACATTTAATTTCTTTTTTTTTTTTTACAGCATTCTTACTTCCTGTTAATTTGAGATCTGTGAAGTTCCATAATGCTGATGTACTATCATTTTACTTACTCTTACTTACTTGAAAAGAACTAATGAATGTAAATATCACGTCTCCCTTGCCAGATTTGGTCCTCGGCAGATCAGGTCAGAGTCGATCATGCTGAGAGCGTTCAATAGTGCCACCAGAGCAGCTCCCTATGAATCCCTGATGGTTGCAGATATCGGCGATGTCAACGTAAACGTGTATGACCTCAAAGACACCTGCAGAAGGATCCGAGAAACGTACCGCAATGTTGTAAAAACTGGCTGCATACCCCTGACAATGGGTGAGTCAAGGATTTGAGCCTGATGAAAATCAGTAAGCAAAAACATTCTCTTTAAGACACAGCAAATTTATACAATAGAAATGGCTTTAAAGAAGAAGAAAAAGCACGTCTAAGGCTGGCTTTACACCCGGAAATTTTCATGCAACTTTAGTTGCTTGAAACTTTCATGAAACTAAATTGCACTTGATTGGCATAATGTAAAGCTGTCCTGCAACTCACAAGAGACTCAACCGCAACGGTTGCAAGTGTCCACACTTAAGCGTGAAACAAGTTTTATGAAACAGCCAATCAAAGTGCTGATACTGTATCACGTGATCACTTCAGATTACTCACACTTCAGATACTTTCAAATTAATGATTTCATGCAATAGACAAAAAATCAAGAGACATGTAATGACCTTGTTGTGCTTCTATGACAGGATGAGCAAGATATCAAGTAGGCTATAACTGTAATGGCTGCCAAAACATTCATTTTCAAAGGCTCAGCATGCACACAACAGATAAAAAAGCCTCTCAAATACAGAGTAAAGAACCATAGATAGATAGATAAATGACAGATATATAGATACAGAACGAAAGGATGACAGTGACAGCTGGAACACGCATATGAAGATGATAAAATGCTTAAAATATGTAAATAACACTTTGTGGATGGCTTTATAATGACAATGATATGATGTAGCAAAAAATATGAGCTGACAATTTGGTTAAACAGTGAAATAGTTGAGCGTGTTGCATGCAACTTTGTTTTTGAATTTCTTTGTGTAACTGTTAAGTTGGACAGAAATTATGCTGCAGGCAGCTCACAACATGCAACCAGCTGCGTGGAAGTTTCAACTTTGTAAAGCCAAACTAACATCTATTAATATAACTTAAAGCTGCACTATATAAGATGTTTTTGTAAAAAGGTAGGAGAAAACAAACACGCTAAAATATGTTGTCTGTGTGCTGCTAGGATTCACCCTGTAAAGCCTGAAATAAGAATTTAGAAGTCAGAGGGGTCAGATTGGACTTCTCAGGATTTTTTCGGACCACGTCATGCGTTTTTATGTATTAATGTCACACAAACAGAGTCCGAAAGAAGGTCCGGCTCGATGTTTAAGTCTCAACTACAAAATCAACATTATACTGATGAAGATATGATGACAATATTAGATCACCAAGTTTTGACTGAGTTCTCTTTTTTAACGTTCTCGCAATCAGATTAATCTATGTTCTTCCGTGTGTTGCCTGCAATTACGCATTTCCACCAGAGAGGTCTTTAAATCCCCAAAACTTACATAGTGTAGCTTTAAACCAACTTGAAAGCTTTATCTTTCAAAATTTTTAACAGTGCTTGTTCTATTCCAGTCAAACCTTAATGACACTCTAAAAGGGTTATTGAATTGAGTCCAAAACGAGATGAATATGTCAAGATAATGTGATCCACAGAACTGTTTATGTGGAAAAATGAAATAAGAAATGAAACTCGACTGACTTCGTTAAGTCAAGTGTGATTGAACTTTCAACTTGTGCCTATGAAGACTCTTCTTCAATGATTAACTCCATTGCTGGCAGATGCAGCAGCCCAATTAATGATTTACTTCACCTCATGTTCCTTTATGTACTGTTTAAGAGTTTTAACCATCAGCATTTGTTCGAAACTTTCCGTAACAGGAGGTGACCACACGATCGCATACCCGATTCTGCAGGCAGTGGCTGAAAGGTAGGCAGTGCAGCAAGTTCATATCTCTGACCACACAGTAATTCGATTTGAATATGATTCTTTGGGAAATGATTCAGTGCATCATGAAATCTTATAAATCTTAAAAAAAAAACAAAAAAAAAAACACTGAATACCCAAATATGACTAGAGGAACCATTAACACAGTACTACAGTATAGACAGTAAAACTATACAAGTTCTTTATAAGAATTTTATTTTGGCTAAAACATGAGTGCATACAACATTGAATATTATTATGATTTATTATAATCTATTCCAACTTTCCAGGGTTGATGCAGTTGACCTTCTCTGACTGGTATTAATATAATTTTTGTGCGTCTAATTAACAGACATGGTCCGGTGGGTCTGATTCACGTGGACGCTCATGCAGACACTGGTGATGTGGTTCTGGGGGAGAAGATCGGTCACGGGACGCCCTTCAGGCGCTGCGTGGAGGAGGGTCTGCTCGACTGTAAGAGGGTCGTCCAGATCGGGCTCAGAGGGACCGGCTACTCTCCAGACAACTACGCATGGAGCAGAGCTCAGGTGTCACATTGAAGAACACTGCAAATTCTGGCTATCACTGGACGTCACTGACTACCGCTTTGTTTTCCTAAAAGCATCATAGGGTTGAGATTAGCTTAAAGCGATAGTTCAGTATTTTGATGTAGCCCATCAGACGTGACATTTAGAGAGTGCCGTGTTCCTATAGTTTTGCACTGGAGCTGTGAGGCTGACGTCAGAAACTACTTCATTCATTTGTGGGAAACGTCACGTCTATTTGAGAAACAGTTTATCTCGTATGTCTTGTACAGGGGTTCCGTGTGGTCCAGGTAGAGGAGTGCTGGCATAAATCTCTGGTACCACTCATGGCTGAGGTTCGGACGCAGATCGGCTCGGGGCCGGTGTACCTCAGCTTTGATATAGACGCTCTGGATCCTGCGTTTGCTCCAGGCACAGGAACACCTGAGATCGCAGGCCTCACACCCATACAGGTAGGATCAGTCATGCGATCTTTGCTATTAAACAGTGTAGAATAGAGATTGTGTAGATGCAAATGTTTATGTAGTTGGAACAAATAGCCCTGGTTAAAACTCCTCTACACTCCGGACTCAGTGGTTTTAGGTTTGGTCACTTGGGAGAAAACTGATAAACAGGGTTATTATACACATTTCCAATTTGACCTTAGTTTCAGTTAGTTTAGGAAGTGCGTTAATAGTTTTAGTTTTGTTCTTATTTTCTGAAAAGAAGGCGTTTTAGTTCTGGAACATACTAATTCTGGACTCTTCTATTTACATTGACTTTTAGCAATGTTAAATTAGCACAGACTCACCATCTATTGAGTGTTTAAGGTATAACAAAGAAAGGATCACTTTCCAGACTGTCCTTCATGCACTGGAAACATGGCAACTCTGTAAAAACCTGTTTTTCTTTGTAAACTATCTGACTTTAACTTGTCTGCAGCAGAAGTAGGAAGTTTTTGAAAACTTCCTTTTTTTATTTTAAAAAGTTAACTAGCATTTACATTTACGGCATTTGTCAGACACTCTTATCCAGAGGGACTTACAGTATGATCATTTTACACAGGTAGGCGAAGGTAGTGTTAGGCGTCTTGCCCAAGGACTCTTATTGGTATAGTCTAGGGTGATTAAACCCCTACAGTGTAGAAGGCAGAGGTGTTACCCACTACACTACACCAACTACACAATTTTATTGTTAGCTAATAACCTTCCTGATTACAAAGACAACCACATAATATTGAACATTATCTGAGCTTATCTGTCTGTGGTCAGGGTTTGGAGATTATCCGAGGGTGCCGAGGCCTGAACCTCGTGGGCTGTGACTTGGTGGAAGTTTCCCCACCATATGACACTACAGGTGATCATTTAAGCTCTGATATAACCTGCATTACTGTTCAAAAGTTTAGTATCACTGCTCTCCACAGTCTAAAACCAATTTGGTTGCCGAATTCATGCACAAAATGTAATATATGTAACAAAAATAATAATTATTATGATGTGATTTCAAGCTCTTCAGTCATTTTTCTTTTATGCCTTATTACTGATATTTTTCCTTTTGCAGGCAACACGGCTCTGACTGCAGCGAACCTCCTTTTCGAAATGCTGTGTGTCCTTCCCAAGATAAAATACTACGATTAAATATGTGAAATGGTCAGTCTTAAGGGTCACAGGTCTCTGTCTCTGACAGCAGGACGGCCCTGAGCGCTGTAATAAAATAACAGCGAGGAGCCAGAGGCTACGAAACAAGCCAAAAATCTGTGTCTATCATGTTGGCTTTAAGAAATTTGTCACCGTGAACTGTTGCCATGATCTCTTAGCTCACAGGCCAAATGTCGCCTGTGGACAGCCTTTGTTTTAAAGGGAAATTCCACCAGTTTTTCCACCAGTTGTTTACAGTGGTGGTGACAGGAACCAGACGTCTTAAGATGTCTGAGAATTCAACTGATTTTTTACAATTTTGAAGTGAAGTGCTCTATTCTAGAGTAACTTACCGAGTCTGAATCTTTTACAGTGGTGGTGACATGAACCAGACATCTGAAGAGTTTCATGTTTCTAAAAGCTCCCTAACAGAGACTTATTACATGAAATGGGTATAAATATACTGGACAAGGCCTGAGACATTGTTTTATGATACTTTTGAGATACATTTTTGGACAAAATTTGTTTTTTTTTGTTTAAATGTATTCATGGAGGAGGGGGAGGGGTATATGCAGGGTGCTATGAGGCATAATAGTAACAAAAAATCATTTTTTTTAGATTTACCACTATGTTACCATCATCAAAATTCCATTTAAAAACTCAGATGTGGTGGTTTTGGATAGTAAATAAAATGGCTGTTTTTGTGTTGTAGACATTGTTACCCCTGGTTCTTATCAGCACCACTGCAAAGTAATCTGAAGCAGTCAGTTTCTCTACATTCAACATCAAACTACTCTGAATGACTTACATCTCATTTACATCTTCGTAATTTATTTAATTAAATTATACAGACACTTTGAAAAATGTGTGGACTTTCCCTTTAACGCTCCCTCACAGAAAGATATTACATGAAATTACAGCTTAGAGCTACATGTAGGGCATTGTGAGACAAAAGAACCCCCCAAAAAATTGGATTTAATTGTTTGGATTCAACTCTGTTTTACATCATCAACATTACATATAAAAACTCAGAAGACGTGTCGGTTCACTGGTGGTTTTGGATAGTAAATAAAATGGCTATATTTGGGTTGTAGGCATCACAATTCCTGGATCCCATCACCACCACTGTAAAGAAGTTAATAAGCATTTCACATCAAACAACTCTGAATTACTTTGTTTACCATGAAATTAGGGAGAAATTTTGAAACATCTGTTGAATGCCCCTTCAATGTGCACTGTACATACAGTATTTGTTTGTATTCTGTCTAGAAATTGTCATTTTAACACAGTGCCCTGCAACATTGTTACACATGCTAGCAGCACAACAGAAATACAGCATTAATGTCACAGAATCAAATAAGACATTAATTAAAACCACTGAAAAAGTAAGTTTAGCAAAGCTTTTCATTAGCCTTACCTGCTTTATTGTGTTCGATTCAGTCTGTCAACTTCGATATGGAAAAAATGAAATGATAGTTATGGAAATAAACCATTTTATTATGTTCTAATAGACTTTTTGATAGTTCAGAAATCATTTGTTAACAAAAAAGGCAAGTGCAATAAATAAAACAGGCCACATAACAAGAATATAGCGATGAATATATTTCTCTCAAGCACACATGGACCAGACATGAATTTGATAGGTATCTCTCTAACGTGGCAATGTGTGATATCTGAGAAAACATAATTCTCAAAACATTAAACAGGTCACAACAACAGAAAATGCTTTAATTACATTACAGCAGCACAGATAGCATAATATATATTTATAACAGCAACAGTACATATATGAATGATATTCACTGAACATCAGAGTGGAAAGATAATGATGAATAACTTAGATCCTGTCCTGACAAAACCGCTCTGGAATGGAAGACTGTAAATGAACACATCTACTCCAATCTGGTTCATCATCAGCAGGGTTACCTTTAAAGAGGCTGTCAAGGATGATATGCGTCTCTTTCTTTATCTGTTTTTCATTAAGTCTAAACAGCAATAGAAACAGATTCCCATTTGGACTGAACAGAAATTGACAAAGGTAAAAATAATTAGACAATATTGACCCAGTTTGCCAGTTTGCAGTTATTCCCTTAAGGCTCTGAGCTGCCAGATTTAAATCTAAAGTTCTTGTAATCTCACAACTACCCTTATTGTACATCTGTGTATATATATATATATATATATATATACACACTCTTCCACTTCAGTGAGGTACATCTCTTTGCTTGTTCGTGCACTTTTTGTCCATTTTATCAGCTCCACTTAGGTGCACCTACATCTATAAGGTATCAGCTGTACCAGCACAACACACACTAACACACCACCACCACATCAGTGCCACTGCAGTGCTGAGAATGATCCACCACCCAAATACCTGCTCCGTGGTGGCTCTGTGGGGGTCCTGACTATTGAAGAACAGGGTAAAAGGGGTAAGTGGAGCTCAAACAAATGGATAAAAGGTGTAGATACAAGAAGGTGTCCTTCTTCTAATATGTTCAACTCAGCGAATTACATTAAAATGTGCAGAAATGTCTTCTCTGCAGAGGATGTGTGAACTTATTCTGACATGAATATCAACAAAACAACAAAACTTGTAATTTGACCGGGCGCCCAAACTTTTGCATACAACTGTAAATTTCACATACTTCATTTTTGAAGAGAATCCTTTTTAGATGCAACATTACAAATCACATTGGTAAAATAACTGCGTTTAGCTACTCGGCCTAGGTGTCATTTCCAGAACTGTTGGCTGCAACACAGGATTAGTATATAACCTCCACCGCCAGGGATAAATATAGAGAAGAAAAAGTTCATTTCTGACCAATATAAGCCTTCACTTCTTATCATCACATCAATGCATCCACTGTGGAATATTCTTAACCATTAGGTAACTTCAGGATCTTTTAATGGCAATTAATCATATGCTAAAAAGGGCCTGGCTACATATTAATTAGAGGCGGCATATTGGTATCGATGGGTGTCAGCATTTAATTGATACCAGCAGAAAATACTAGATCGTTATCCGTGGAAAAATGATTAAGCCCATTGTATGATATGAGGTTGTTAGCTTTGTATTTCTTCTCGTGGGGTACTAGAGTTTTTGAGTAGTTTGATCATGACAATTAAGAACAGGTCATTTTAAAACTTTTTGGATTTTGGATTGGTGTCAGTGTCAGAAAAGAAAAACAGGTATCGCGTCATCTCTAAAAGTGGAAAGCAATTCAAATTTGTAGAAGCTGTCCAGTCAGTAAATGTTCATTTCTTTGAGTCCTTTCTTTTCAGGAGAATTCAGAAAAACCTTATTTCAAATGCTGGCTCTCATTTCTAGTTCACTGGCGAAATGCACCAAAATCAATGGACAGATATCACAGTGTGAGTATAGACTACTGCCTTTAGTTTATATTAGGTTCCATGCAAAAATGTCTATTAGGTTCTGCTCCACTCACAAGACTACAAACGTATGAGGTGGGATCACAATTAACCCTTAAAAATGAAAAAAATCAACCGATTGTTGATGCGATTGTTATGAGAAAGAAAAGTAACGGGAGCTCAAGGCAAAGCAGTGACACTGTATTGCACTGACACTGTCTTCTGAATCGTCTCATCCAGGACAGTGTTTTATATTTACACAAAGGTTTAAGACTGGTATAAATATTTAAAACAGAACTGACAATTATTATGATCTTCAAGTGACTGTATGTTACAGAAGGAGATCCTTCCACTCTTACAGTGTTTCAGTTCATGCTACATTTTACAGGTTTGTTGTTCCAACAGCGGGGATTGACCGGTGGGTGCACAGCCAAGGGATCCGCTTAAATTGAAATGCATCAGTTGAATTGAAGTCCTCATCTTCACCCCAAAGCCTGACTGACATGAGCTTTAAAGATACACTAAGTAATAATTAATATTGTTGGTTTTACCCAGTAAGTTCCATACTACTGAACTGCTAGCTTGTAATAATGGAATGTCGCAGAACTATAAAAAAGGTGTTTGACCACAGTGAGCCTCCATTTCTCATCACCATGTAATATTCGTACAACCACTGTGTATTATTCCTATAACCACCATGTAATATTCATTTCTATCTAAACTTCTGTCACATTTTAATGGACCACTCTACTTAGTGCACCTTTAAAGACTTAAGAACTGTTCGAGCTGGATTGGTTTTACCAGAGGCACTTCTGTAATATAATTATTAAGGGATCTGACTGGCTGATTCATACAGGATAAAGTGCCTGTGTAATGTCCCCAAATAACATATTAACAGTGAGTGTGTTTACATCTACTTAATAATCTGATAACTGTAGAAATCAGATTTTGTTGGTAAACCGATCAACGTTTATATGCACTTGGGCAATCAGATAATGTGAAACTCTACATGAGTCAGGCAGTAATCGTATTTCTGCTTTGCAACCGGCCAATAAACTCACAGAATAAGACGTGACATGAGCGTAACGTAAAGCTCATCGCCATGCCACGCCATGTCCATCATGTTTTTTTTAAATCATCAAGTCACTTTAGTGGAAAGTATATTTAAATCCTTCATTAAATCCATCAAGCAGGTAGACATCTCGTGGGTGCTGTGTGCCATGAAAATAGTCTGTTTTGGCACATGCACAGACTGGGAAACACGAAAGAAATCAGAGTAAAGGTATACATGCACGAGAAACCCAATTACTGATCTAAAATACAGCTTTCTCGGATTTCTTAATTGAATTTCTAGGCTGTAATCTGATCTAAAAAAATCTGAGTATGCTGTTTACATGACCACTTAAATAATCGGAGAACTGCCCAAATCCAATAACGATTGGATTATTAAGTGCATGTAAATTTTATGAACCATTTGTTGGCTTGACAAAGCTATTGCTACGAAATCCCAGGTGGCTAAGGTGTCGCTAGGCCATTGCTATGAAATCTTAAGTGGTTGCCAAAGTGTTGATAGGGCATTGCTATGGTATCCCAGGTGGTTGCTTAGGTGTTGCTAGGCCACTACTATAGAATCCCAGGTGGTTGCCAAAGTGTTGAGAGCGCATTGCTATGGTATCCCAAATGGTTGCTTAGGTGTTGCTAGGCCACTACTATAGAATCCCAAGTGGTTGCTAAAGTGTTGATAGGGTATTGTTATGGTATCCCAGGTGGTTGCTAATGTGTATATACATGTGCTATGTATGTGAGTCTGTATGTAATGTCTATGAAGGACAGCGTGAGAGATGTCCTTTATGACATCATTTGTGACAAATTTGAATTTTCTCAACATTCGATTATTCATTTCCAAGGGCTAAAACAGTGTTTGAACAAATGCTGTAAGAAAACTGTATGTGTGATTAGGCATCTTCTGGCTCTGTGTCTCCCTGTTGCAAAGCGACAACAGCATCATAACAGCTGCTGTGCTAGTTGTTGTTTTGATATATACTGGCAAAAAGCTCTGGCACTTGCCTGTTTAGAAAGTGGTCTGCTGTTAACTAGCAAGCATTGTGATGCTAGTAAAAATAAGCAAAATGAAAGAAAAGCTACTTTTTGTTCAGTCTTGTGCTAATTTTGATCAGTGAAATTATACAGTTGGTACTCAGCAACTATCACTGAAGACATGCCTTTTTTATCTGATTGGTCAGCACAGAAAAAAGCACATGAAGTAGGCTACTTGACTGCTTGGAGTTAAGCAGGGCATACAAAACAGCAGACAAAACTTGTCTCTCCTTTTAAAAGCGAATAGAAAAAAACTGCCTCAGTCTTTTAAAAAAGCGTACAATGTCAAATACCCCACCGTTCGTCATTTTAATCAGAGTACCTCTCCAGGAAAAACTAATCCAGCTTCAACAGGCCTTTAGAATTTGGGGGGAAAGACTTGGGAAGCATACAGTAGTTGGAGCACAGCATTTTGGTTGGATGAAGCTACTATTTCACTTGGGTCAATTACAGCAATAGTGTCAATTCAAGTACTCCTCTCCAAAGAATCGGACTCCAGGGCCACTCAGAGTCTTATGACTGAAGTGACCGTGGTGAGAGTGACGAGAAATTTGTGCCAAAGAACAAACACTGTCCTCCTTCATCAGCTACATCAGTATGCTAAGCCATTTTTGGCTCTGTCTTTTGTTTCCCTCAGTGCTTCCGTGGCCCTCAGAGCTTCTTCCTCCAGTGCTAATATTAGCATTAGCACAACTGCATCTGGCCTGCCGGTGGGTTTTACTTATTGACTGTGATCTTGTCCAGGCCAGGCCAGGCTGGGATGTAGTAGCGAGGGAGCGTCCCCTCCATCAGCCTCTCCATCCACAGACCAAGTCGGTCCAGTTTGTGGTGGATCTGGAGGGTGGTTGAACGCGAGCGTGTCGTGCTTTTCCTGTGCTGGTGCTCGTCCTTGGAGCCTGACCTGGACCTGGAGCTTCCTGTGTCCTCCTCTGGCTTGCCATCCGCGTCCTCACCTGTGTAGACAGGTTTGAACAGGCACAGGTATTTCTTATGACCGTTGAGGGCCAGCACATAGCCTGTGTAGTCTATTTTGCGGTTGCTGCCCTCTTCCTCATCCATGTCAATTTGCATGGCGTCCTGGGCGTACTCTAGCAGGGTGGCCATCCACTCGTTGTGTTTGTCGACGTTCAGGAAGGAGAAATGCAGCGTCAGGCTCCTGGAGGTGGCATAAAAATTAGTAGAACTGGCAGTACTAGAGGTCTCATGATATTAAATTATTAGCGATGCATGATGATGTCAGAATAATATCAGTATTTGTGGATATTCACTTAAAAAACATCAGCATTTGATGGATTTGATATTTTAAACCAATATTTGATGTATACAAATAAATTTGAATTGAATTGAATATTGTACTCTGGAAGAGAAGAATGTTTAAGTGATGTTTGGGGGGCTTTGGTATTAAAATATCTGTAGTGCGTTTCATTTAGATTTAAGCACAATTTCTACATTTTATAAACGTATATGAATCAGCATCAGAAGATATGTGTGTGAAAATTATCGGCCATTGGAGTCAAACTCCCATATTGGTGCATCCTTGGATATTATCCCAGTACATACCGCAATATTATTCTCCAGCATTTTTTAAAGATGTGTGATATGCTAAGTGTTGCAATATGACATATTGTTGTCTATTACAAATAACTCACTCTTACTGACGTCACAACTGTTGGTGTCACTGTCTAGAAAAAAAGACTTCTCAACACTGGAATCTTGTGGATTCTTGTGGAATAAGAAAACAATGAATTTCGGTATCCTTTCAGTCTACCAACTGCCTTAATACATGTTAAAAATTGCAATAATTATAATAAAACATCAGTATTTGGACTTCAATGTATTGACATTATTTTTCACCCAAAGTACTGCGACACTGTTTTGTACTAAATTGTTTCTCCCATCTTAAAAGTTAAAGAAAGATAAGAGCAAAGGCAGATGCTAATGCATATGGTGCCACAAGGGGGACCGTTACAACCCAAAAGTACCATGATCTCAGTGATTATAATGTAACACAAATTTGAAAAACAGCTTCTTAGAACGTCAGAAGCGGTCTTTCAATGTTCCTTGTTCAATCCCTTAGGCAACCTCACCCCGGCCTAGTCAAATCAGCTTCTTGTAAAATCATATTCAGAAAGCTGACATCACCAGAATGGAAAGCCTAAGCTGGCTACTTTCTGTGCTGTGTGCTGTGCTATGTCAAAAGTGTACGTGCTTTCTTATTCTCAATCTGTATTTAACAAATCTGTTATTGAGGTCACTGGCTGATATTTGCACTAACATGCTCTCTTCAGAGATCTACTTCGTATACTGACTGGCCACTTTAAATACATCTTGTTTCTACGCTTATGGTCCATTTTATCAGCTCCACTTACTATACAGGTTCACTTTGTAGTTCAGTTCTACAATTACAGACTGTAGTCCATCTGCTTCTCTGCATACTTTGTTATACTTCTTTCACCCTGTTCTTCAATGGCCAGGACCCCCACAGGACCCTCACAGAGCATGTACTATTTGGGTGGTGGATCATTCTCAGCACTGCAGTGACACTCATTTGGTGGTGGTGTGTTAGTGTGTGTTGTGCTGGTACGAGTGGATCAGACACAGCAGTGCTGCTGGAGTTTTTAAACACCTCAGTGTTACTGCTGGACTGAGAATAGTCCACCAACCAAAAACATCCAGCCAACAGCGTCCTGTGGGCAGCGTCCTATGACCACTGATGAAGGACTAGAGGATGACCAACACAAACTGTGCAGCAGCAGATGAGCTACTGTCTCTGGCTTTACATCTACAAGGTGGACCAACAAGGTAGGAGTGTGTGTGTCTCATTCACTCGTACCAGCGCAACACACATCAACATGTAAATACCATGTCAGTGTCACTGCAGTGCTGAGAATGATCCACCACTCTAATAATACCTGCTCTGTGGTGGTCCTGTGGGGACCTTGACTACTGAAGAACAGAGTAAAAGGGGGGCTAACAATTATTCATAGAAACTGATGGACTACAGTCTGTAATTGTAGATCTACAAAGTGCACCTGTGCGGCAAACAGAGTTGCTTTGCACTGAATTTATTTGTAGAATATGTAGAGACTCACCCAGTGAAGGAATAAACCTCCTTGGCAAACTTGCTGAGCAGAATGTTTTTGGTTGCATCAGTCAGCACCAAGACAACGTTAATGTGGCCTGGCCTCAGCTTCACTAAGTTGCTGGTGTAGGTGATGTCTGTTAACTCAGTCACCTCCACAAAGTTTTTCTTCGGTGGACGGCTGTTCAGAAAAGAGAAGTAAAGTTTAGACATCTCAGACATGTTGTAAGGCAGGAACTTGCACAACCCTTTCATATTTATTATTTCATGATAACATCTGAGGCACCTTGAGGTGTTAGTGGTGTTTGGTGACCCATTCTCTGTCTTTGCTGCTTCCTTTGCCTTTGGTTTTGATTGTTTCTCGTCACTCGAGTCACTGAAACCAGACAAAAAAAGTTTGGGAAATGTGTTAAAGACCATTTCAAAAGAATGACAGAAATGGAAGTGCTGAGAATCGTACCTGAAAGCTTGAATAACCACTGTGCCAAACAGGATAAACAGTGCAGAGAATATCAAAGACAGAAGAGGCATCATTTCACGCCTGCAAATAAGAACAGTTAACTTCCTTATGAAGGATATTTGTATTTTCTTTAGCTTGTACAAGCTCATAGAAGCTGTACCTTATTTCCTACAAATGTATAAGTATGTCTACTTACCAATTATTATGGAGAAGATCATCAATAATTTCAGACAGGTAGTCATATGCTGTATAAATCCATCTGATTAAAAACATCTGGAATCAGACAAAGTAGCAAACTTCAACTTCTGTCAGTCACACAACTGAACTATGTACTTGTCCTACATACAATCAATATCATCATTTGTAGATGAAAATGGAAGGTGGATAAAATTCTACTTTATCAAAATGCTTCTTCACTGATGCTTTGAATAGTAGCTGTTACATGCACAAAAGCTGCCCAGCCCACAGTAATCCTCTCATAGCGAGCTAATCGCTCCCTTGTCATCCTAAATCCATGGGGAATATAAAATAGGCCAGGACTAATTTCTCATTTAAAGCAACTCCATTAAGCGAGAGAACTCTAGAGAGACTGACTGAGGCAAACTCATTGTTGAGCTCCGGCAGTGTGGCATCGTGGGTAAGGATGGAGGGATCTTTTTGCAGTCGCTCCAGTTCTTCCAGCAGCCTGTGTTTGTCCTCTTCACTGCCATTCCAGCCACCCAGCACGGGCTTATACAGCACCTTACCGGCCCCGTTACGCCTCTCCAGTATTATCACCTGTGGTCAGCACATACAAACACAGTACGTCAGCTTCCCTTTACACTGTAAACATTTCATGATAACAGAATATTTTTGGCTGGCAGACTATTTTCAACCTAGCAGTCACACTGACGTATTGCAAAAACTGATGGGATAGGACAGAGAAGGGGCTGATAAACTGTGCAGAAACAGACAGGCTAAAGTCAGTAGGGAGGAATGCTAATATCTGTGTATTGTATCTGTATAGTCAAATAATTGCGTAAAAAATTGACATTGGAGGCGTTGAGATTTGACCAACACCTTAAACTAGTATTCAAACTATGGACTCTGGAAGAGCAGAACATTTAGGAGATGCTGGGTTAGTATGTATTTATTGTAGATAAACACTTACCAACTGCATGTTTTTTTGCAAACAAAGCATAATTAGCCCTGGATTAAGTGGATTAAGTGCAGCTCAGTATGTGAAATGTTGAATATATATTACTGGATACATAGTTTTTGAGATTATTTTTTAAAATGCGTCACTACTCTGTCTGTTTCAACTTATCAGCTGTCAGAAAAAAACACATATTGTGACGTATCATGCATTGTGAAAAATTCCTGAAGTATCGTGATCTTACATTTTTGCCATATCGCCCAGCTCTAGGTGCAAAGTAGGTGTACTGGGAGGCACCCAGTCAGACCAACACACAATCACAGAGACACAATCAGGCACTACTCACCCCCTAAAGTCTATGTTTCATTACATTACACAACTGGCTGCGTTTTGGTGAGAGTGCTACGTTGCAGAAAGCAGTGTTAACCTGTGGTGGAGTGCTGTCTCTGTTCTTCAGCAGCACAGTGCACAGCGGCTGCTGCTGCCGCTGATACACATAGGCAAAGCGAAGCACCTCGTTAGTGTTTGCAGAGGCCAGAGACAGGAAAGCTTTGTTTCCTGGGACAAAAGCTTCTTCTTCACCAGTGATGAGCAGAACGCAGTATCTGTAGAGAGAAAACACAACAGTCCTCAGACACTACATTCTACACAACAGGGATGTGATGGTATGAATATTTCCTATCCTGATGAGAGCACATCACATCTTTCTGTATTACTGTGGATCTGTTAAAATATGCTGAAAATGTTTAAATAGCACTGCTAATGAAATCTTACTGACTTTTTAAAAAGGCAGTAAGGGTATATAGGGTCATTGGAATTATCTGGAATAATGATCATTGCATACCATGCCATCATTAAAACTGCTAACACTCCAATCCCTAGAGTCACACTAGAAGCCAAATACACAGGCGATTAAAGAACTCAAACATCACTGCCCTCACAGAGAAACTACTGCCTTCAAAGCTACTTCTAAATTCAGAGAGACGTCACAGCACACAGACTGATGCAACCAGAGAACAGCTCAACATTCTGCTTTGACTGTCACACCAAACAGTATGCAGTCAAGTCAGATTCATTCTATCACATTAAACGAATGCTGCAATCTTACTTCCTGCGCCGATGGAACTGTTTGACAGGGCAAAGCTCATCAAAGACCTTCTGGTTCACCAGACGAGGAGCAAGGAGGAATTTGTTATTGGAAATGAATTCATCGATGATTTGTTTTTTCATCCCTTTAGCCTGTTTAGCAAAAAAAAGTTAAACAGAGAGAAAATGAGTTAGTATTAGTATTAGTTAACAGTATTCCTCCCAGTTGTAACACACATATGTATTATATCCATGTACACATCTGTAAACACACAGTGTTGTTAAAGTCTAAGTTTGTTTTATTTTGTTATATTATTATTTGTTATATCATTTTATTTTTTTCTAAAATATGCATTTTTGTACAGCCCTTTTTAGTTGCAGCAGACTGATATCTTCAGGATTAATAAAGTTTTTTCTTCCTATCAGAGCCCGATTGATATATCAGGTGGCTGAAAATAAAGATCGATATTGACGACCTATCGTTTTATGGGTACTGATTTATTTTAAACATAATATACTGTCATGGTTATATTACAGCATATAAAATATATCCTAAGGTTTCCATTGGTATGAAAATAACATGTTAACACATTAAACCTTTTTTATGAAGAGAACCAATTAAAAAACAGAAACCAAAACGGACAATATTGAAATGATTTAACATGGTGTGTTTCTGCTGTTTATTTGAGTTGAAGTAGTGAGACACAAGAGATCTGGTAGTGCCATCTGTCAGCAAACACTATTCAGCCAAAACTGATAGAGTATAAAATAAAAATCCATCCATCCATCCACCCATCCATCCATACACCCATCCATCCATCCATCCATCCACCCATCCATTCATCCATCCATCCACCCACCCACCCATCCATCCATCCGGCTTGTGTGATCGTGCGCAAGATACTATCATCAGATTGCTCCATGTAGCTAGTGCCAATTGATGATAATATCAGTCAAAATTGGGGCGGAAGGTGGTGGGAGTGTTTAGTAAGAGCCGCTTCCCTAAAAAAAAAATAAAAAAGGCCGCCTTTCCCCAAACATCCTAACTTACAAACTGCAGATCCACTTTATTGACATCTATGGCTCCTTTCTCCCATAACCTGTTTCAACACAGCAAGCAATGTGGCAACTCCACAAAGAAGCCTGCTTAAATCAGAGAAAATAAATATGCTTGAGTTTCTACACAGTAAGCTAACTTTGTTTTTGCTGTTGTTTGGATGTTCTTGGAACAGTCTGGAAGCTTGTAGGTGGTACAAAATTTATCAGAGATTCATGATACCACTATCAATCGGCTCAAGCCTAATGCACGTAATGCATTTTCTCCTGTCTCCACGTTGTTATAGGTTGTTAAACAGACAGCATGTCTTTAACATACATGAAAACAAAGACCATGAGGTCACTTAACCTATTCTGACCACACCAGCAGAAAAGCCAGAAGATGCATGACTACTGAGCAAAAACAGGCCTACTTGTATAATATCAGCTGGCTTGTCTGTGTTCTCCTTGAAGACTAGCATGGTGGGAGCATAGGTGTTGATGTTGTACTGCTTCAGCAGGTCTGCAGTCTCAGACAGGCCCTGATCCACATAGCCAAACTGCACATAGTCCTTGTAGGCAAATGCAGTCAGCTGTGGAGGAACAGTGCACACATAATTATTCATGCAGTCAGCAAAACATGTGCAGGTGCTTCTCTAAATATCACTATCAGAGGTCATGTGTACCTTATATAAGAGAGGAACCACAGGAACTTGGTCAAAAAGCAGAACGTGTGGCTTGTTAACCTCATGCCAGCTCTTCAAGAAGTCACGGTCGTTCCGGTCAGTGACCTGAGAAAGCAAAATGAACCTCATGACCCGAGTGCCCAACTCAGAAGATTTAAAAAGCTTTTAAACCTCAAGTGAGAATCAGCGGAGGTCTAACAAATTATAAAACAAATGACTATAGATACAGCAAAGTAACTGTTTAGCTTTTTAATGAAAGAAATGCAGCTATAAGTTGCGCACTATGCAAGTAAAAAGAGCCAAAACATTTGAAAGATAATACACGTTTTATATTTGTTAATGTATCCTTCACATTACTTTGATTAAACTAAACAAAATTTCCATTCAAAAATCTTTTAATCCTCAGAAGTCACAGTTATTGTCACCAAGAACAAAGCATGTTGTAACATGATATTTCTCACATATAGAAGAGAAGAAAAAAGGAGAGTTAGGAGAGTTGTTTTTTTCTTTTTTGGTGACAATGAAACAAATAGAAAAAGGGTAGATTGCGACCTCTTCATAAAACTGCAGTTCATTATGCAACTCACTATGTAACAAAATAGTAGACAGTATAGCACAACACCTATAACTGTCAGCTATGACCCTAAACGTCTAGGGGTTAATAAAGCAATAAGCCACGAGAGGCTGCGATTACTGCGATTTTATTGAAGCAGAGTGCCTAAAACTAAATCACAGTAGCGCACAGCCTCAAGTGGCTTATTGCTTTTATACAATGGTGGCCAACATAAAATATGATAAAATACACATTTTTTCCTAAAATAATGTATTATTAATAATAATTGACATGTAACTACATCGAAATGTGGTTACTGTAGAGTATGGTATTGTTTCCAAGCAACCATGGACTGCTGAATGCACAGAAAAACGTTCGGTCTCCTTTCACTGTTTAGTGCGTCATTTCTATTTTCTTTTAACTTTTTGTTGTAAAACACTGAACATATCATAACACAACACTGTTTATTGCAAAACCTTTTTTGGTCACCAGATTACCTCAGAGTCTTATATAATGCCAATCCAATTGCGTCCCTTTTCTCGTGCTGGGGCTGAATCTCAAATGGCTCCCTGCTCCCTACACAGTGCACAGAAATTGAAACACTGGCTCCTGCACCCCAACAGTGCTTAACATAGCTAAGAAATAGTCATTTGGAATTCAGCCACATCCATACTCCACAAATAGTGCACTATTTGGCTATAGAAGCTATAATTTCAACACCTCTATAGTTAGCACACTACTTAGGGAGTTATGTAAGGCATTTGGGATTCGACCTGGGTTTGAAGTGCCTTCTGACTGAAATATGGACATTTGAAGCACGTAAACCACTCAAGTGACAGACATTCTTTATACTTTTATATTGCAGTTTTACAGTGAATTCCACTGTAAGTACTTTAATTCAAGCCTGTGATATTAATGATGGAGTTGTTTAGGCTGTTAGCTATCTTTTAGCCTGTTAGCTAGCTGACCAGCCTAGTTGTAGTTAAGAAAATGAATTAAGAACTTGTTTTTTCTAAACATTCTTTCACTTCTTCAGTACACTCTGTGGTCCATGCGAGCAGCATGAGAGTCAAAGATTGTTCCACTAACAGCACGAGGGTTTTTCATGCTGTGGCGCAGTAATACAGAGTTCAGTTGTTGTGATGCGGTCATAGGTGTGCGTATATTGTGTATTTTACAACGGCCTCGAACGCGGCTCAGCCAATCAGATTTTAGGCCCGTAACTATCCTTTTAATAAGCGTATTAATTCTTTAATTACAATACATCTGAAAACCATAACAAACAGACATACAGGGAAACAATTTGGCAGTTACCTTCTCGACCAGTCTCTGTGGAAGCAGGTCCTCCACAAACTGCAGGAGGTGCTCTTTGACCACAGCGTAATGGAAGAAAGTCACTTTTCCATTAATAACACCAAGTATGGAAGGAGTGCGGTGTGCACCTAGGTGATTTGCCAAGCGTCTCTCATAACCAACATCAACCACTCCTATTCCTACACCTACAGATGTGGACAAAGGGTGGAATATTGGTATGTGACACAAGACTAGCAACCTTAACATAGGTTATCATCAGACATCATCATGGACAAGTATTGAAAGAAATAGTTTGACCAACAATACTAGGGCTGCTAATAATAAATGTAAAGCTCCCAAGTAGCATTATGCAAATATGGCATGCTCAAATATTAGCTTTCATTCACTGATAGCCATGTTAACACTTCTGGCTGAAGGATCCCTTCAGAACGCCAGTCAGGATGACTTGAGCACTGATTCTTTTTTAGGCCCCTGAAGATTCCATTACGTGATATTTTTATCTTTTCTCATAAGAGACTGGTTGTAGAAGCGATGCAATCTAAGATTTGTTGGTTTTAACACGTTTATCAGCTTTGCAAAAAACTGTAGAACAGTTTAACTGAATCATACCGATTCAGGGGGCTGATTAGTTTACATATCTGTTGGTTTCAAAAACATCCTGCTTGGAGCTTTAATGTCTGTGAACTGTCAACAAATAAACCAGCCCTTACCAAGTGGCTCCAGCTCCTGCACAGCCTCTTTCCAAACAGGCTCAATGTGGATGCAGCTGAAGCACCAGTCGGAGGTGATCTTGACCAGATAAGGCCTTTTAAAGCTGTCGGGCACGACTTCGTTGACATACTGGTTAAAGTGAAGCGTGTACTTGCTGTCGGCTGAGTCACGGCCGCTCTTGCTGTTGAACGGAAAGTTGAAGAAGGACTCGTCGAAGTAGAAGTTGTCATGGAAGTGGCGGAAGCCTCGGTGGCCGTAAGGCTGGGTGTCGTCGGTCTGCCCGTAGCGATCGTAATTGGCTCTCTTCTCCTCACTCGACAAAATCTGAGCATTGAGACAGAACATGCACGCATCAGCACCTCCTCCTCAGCATCGCACTATAAAAGAACACTGCAATGTGGACATTTCTGTGGCAGCGAAGCACCCAGACTGGCCAGTGTTACCTCATATGACTTGGTAATCTTAATGAACATGTCTTCTGCCTCTGGGTTCTTGTTTTTGTCTGGATGCCTGGCAGCAAAGATATGAAAGAAAAAACAAGCAGACACTGGGTAATTGTGAATGAGCAGTTTTAGCAGTAATTATTCAGTAACTACTATGAATACTATGAATCAGCCCATTTAACTGCTACAAAACTAATACATAGTGTATGTAACTGTGTGAGAAACTGGCCTTACAGAAAAAAGAACTGTAGTAATGGCATAAGAAATAGATTTCTATAGCACTGTGTAATAATTCTGTAATAATGTCACTTCGATGGCCTGGTGCCCCTGACCACATTATTCTACATTTTGGCCACTAAAAATGCAGAGCCTGGGGCCTGAGTGGCCACTTGCCTTGAAGATGTTACTCGTTTTTAACAAACCACCAGCTGAAAAGGTCCAGAGCCTGTTTGGTTGAACCAAACCATATTTTGAGAGAATCTGTATCATTAACCACTGCAATAACTAACATCACAGGAAGTGAGAACTACTTTCTGTACCTCCAAGCATTACTTTGTAGTGTGCTGTGATGGCTGGGGTGTTACGGTTTCAAAACCAGCGGCAGTTCTCACAATAAAAATAGAATCAGATAATGATAATGATAATGACACGAGTCATGTGGCAGTGTGGCTTGAGGATAATTTTGAGAAGGAACTCATGTTCCGTTAAAGGGGAACTCCACCAATTTTCACATTTTCTGCATATTTAAATGGTTAACATGTAAACAAAGTCATTCTGACTGGTTTGGTGTGAAATGCTTCGTTCTAAAGAAACTTGCCAAGTCAATTATTTTAAAAAATGGGTGGAATAAAGCATAAAAAAGCATGCTTCTATAATTCTGACTACAAATTCTTAATTTTTGCAATGCAATTCGCTGGTATGGTGGGCAGAATGGCCAGTGCATTTTTTAAAGGCCTATATGTCACATCTGTATCATTTATAGTAATCTATAATACTTGTGAAGAGTCATTAAGTATTTCTCAGAAGTATCTTACAGAGGATTACTTATATCAAGAGTGCAAAACTAAAACGTTGCCAAAAAGAGGGGGGCACTACCATAATGCAATCAGGAGTATGTAACTGTACCATTCTTTGGCAAGCCGTTTATACACCTTCTTGATTTCAGCCTGGCTTGCGCTCCTGGTGACTCCCAGGATCTTGTAGGGGTCAAAGTGAGCAGCGTCTCCCAGCGCAGCGGCCAGAAGCGCGCAGAGCAGGAGCAGCGAGCGAAGGGAGAACAGCATCGCCCTCCCAGCCATGAACCCAGCCTGAGGAGAGAAAACAGATCAAACAGGGAGTCGCAGACACATTGCTCAACACCACACACGCAAAACGAGTGCAGACACGATCTGTGTTGCAATATTAACGCCTCGCGACTCCAAACACAGCTGATCTGCAGCTCGACAGGCTCGCTGTGAGAGTGAACTTACCTCGCAACTACCGTTAGCGAGCTGCTCAGCTCTCTACCAGTCTGTGAAACGCGAAATTATTATAACTACACAAAGACAGGGCGAGTTTAGAAAACACCATATCGGGGCATGAAACAGGCCCAACAACTAAACTACACCACATTTCACAAACACCCAACAGCCCGACTGACCGCGCTCCCTGTAAACACTGCCACTGTAACGTCAACGGCACTAGCCAGCTAGGCTAGCTGAGCAGTCACGTTACGCATTCAGCTGGTTTTATCTCAAACAGAAGCGCGGAAACACTGAATATTTTAATTATCTCCCCCAAAACGCACCTAACAGAGACAACAGGGTCAACCGTCCATTTTCGGAAAGCTGTCAAAGCCCTCTCGTACTGTGACAGCCGCGCTGTGTTCGCTGAGGTGAGAGAGAGGAAGAGAGACAGAGAGAGATGCTGGAGCGCTGCTCACATCTCCGCGTCTCCCAGGGACGTCTAGTGAACGAATCGTTCTTTGGAACCGGTTCATTGTCATGAATCGATCGAACTGATTCAGCAGTGCATTTGAATCAAATGATTTTAGAAAAATGTTCGAAAATTAAACGTTTACAAATGTAACCTCAAAGTCGTAAAATCGTTGCATATTAACACATTCAAACGTCTAATTAATTATGTCGAATTAAAAATGGATTTTATATGGGAGAATCGAGAAAGTTGACTCGGCTCGTGAATCGTTTAATCGGACAGTTTGAAAGAATCGGTTCCGTAAAACGGAACCGAACCTCTCATCCCTGTGCGCTACCGCAGCTGCCCGCTGAGCTGCAGCTGTGATGAAGGGTCCATGTCGGAGTGTCAAAATAAAAGATGTAGTATTTGTCTGGGCCTGTAAAACTAAGCTACGTACGACTCCAGATAAAACGTATACTAAAAATAAAACATAAAATAAAATGATTACTTGAAATTATTTCAGTATGTAAAAGCAATCGCTAGTAAATGTAAATAAATGGGACCCATAGCAAACACACTGCATAACATGGGCTTTACAACAACATTAACCCCCTGTCTATATATATATATATATATATATATATATATATATATATATATATATATATATATATATATATATATGTGTGTGTGTGTGTGTGTGTATATACACACACACACACATTCATTATATACATTATATATATCTATATATATAAAATGAAGTTTCTGGGCTGTCTTGCGCATAAAAATTAAACAGTGACGCTCATGTTTGTGGATACACTTTCATTTAATAGGGCTGTGTCATAGAGAGAGTATAGTACAGTTTATCTGCATTTCATCACACAGATTACTTAGTGGTTCTTAGTGGGTCCTTTGCACAAGTTTTAGAATTATAATAAAAAAGAAAAACAAATTATTATACAATTCCATTGTCCACTAAAGTAGTATATAAATACATTAATAAAGGTGGCATTACTGAGTACTTTTAATAGCTTAAACAAAATTAGATTCTCCCTCGTGCTCTCCATCTCACTTCCAGAAATGTCACATTTAAAAGGGATGATCCTGAAACTCAAAAACGACTGTACAATCAGCACCTGGTCCCATGCAGACAGAGGTGGGAATGTACAGGTCGAGTCAGAGAACAATTAGAAGCAGTGCTCAAAGAACGGCAGCGTTAGTGCTATAACCAAGTACACAACAACCCCACCTGCTGGATCATTTCAGTACTACAGTGTAATCAAGCCAGATCAATATCCTGTACCATACAAAGCTAATAAGGAGCAAAGCCCTTTAAAGGAGTACTTCAGGGTTTTTCAGCATTCTCTTTCTCTCACATCTCAAGCATGTGAATGACTGACACAGGCAGTAATAAAAAAACAACTTGTAACAGAAGCAAATGGACAAGAGCTGACCCACACAACTGCCCATTGACTTCTAATAGAATTGTGTTGTGAGTCAGTGGGTTTCCTGTTCTTTTACAAGCAGAGGGAAACATCAAAATTATAGTCAGTGATAACTGACTGTACGATACAGGTGTGGCAATAATTCAACACATACTTACAATAGGCAATGAACAACAGCTGAAGCAACCGCCCATTGACATTCTATTATAACTGTTTTGTCAACAGGTTTTCTGTTCTTTTACAAGCATGAGAAAACTTTTAAAAATTACTGTCTGTGGTAATCGACTGTATGATACAGATGCCGGAGATGGACATTAGGCTGAAACATGCTGAAGTATTCCTTTAAACGAGAAGGGCATCACTCATCATAATCTGACAGAGCACCACAAAAGTCCTGTTTCAAAAAAAAACAAAAAAAAACAAACACCAAACAAATAATAAATGGACATTACAATAAATACTTTGTACTGACCTCACATAGAGGTTCTGAGAACATGTTTATTATCACATAACTTTGCTTTTCACACTTTCAACACAACAGAAATGCATGTATTTACTTTAACCATGAACTATCCCTTAGCTCGAACCAGAGCGGTGAGAGGAGATTACAGTCTGTTCGTATCTGCATATTTCAGTAGGCCACTGAGCAGCTAGATCATCTTTACTTCCACTGGAGATTCGAGAGGTTTTGCATCATATGAACTAATAAAAATAATAATTTTTACTACACAACAGATATTACTTCATTAATAACATACAGACTTCAGTATCAACCAATGGAGTTTCCAGACTGACCCCGATCCTATGGCAACAAGTACAGTGCCAACAGGTAAACTGTCCAGAGTAAGTATCTAAGAGTCAGCCACCCATACATACATACATACATACATACATACATACTATGTACATACATTACAATACACTCATACTGACACTTTGGACAGAGTATGAAAGCTGAAATCAAGCATTCCACTTACATCGCACAATCACTTTCCACTAAAATGAGGGAAATAAAAAAGGGCTGCACAATATATCGTTTGTTAATCATCATCATTTAGCCTCTGTAGTACTGATATCACAGATGGAAATGAGCATCTGACCAATCCCTGCATGTTCGCTGGGTGTTTTGGCCAAGTCATCCTTTCATGTCACATCAACGGTTATGCTTTCAATGTTCTGTAAGGCATATCACGATATGGGGATGTAAATGATTAATTGATTAACCGTAACCAACAAATAAGTTAATAAAAAAAGGTTCTTTTTAATTCATTTCCAATAAATACCAGATTCTATTTGAATAGTTTATCATTCTGGTTAATTTTGAATGGTATGCTTGTGGGTGCAATAGGCAACCATTTCCCCTTACTAGTTTGCTAGAAAAATGATGAACAGGTATAAATAGGTGTCCAGTTTTCGCACGCACAACCACAACAATGTACCCTTTCAAAATCAAGTGATAACTATTTCGTCCATGTTCTCTGAGAGAAAGTGTGATGGTTAAATATGAATCACTGACTAATGATGGTCTGTTATCGGCTAAAATTTGCATCCCAATTGCAGTTTACAGAAATATAACTGCAATATAGTGTTTCGTCCATATCGTGCAGCCCTAATTATAGTAAATAAAACAAACTGTCAAGAACAAAATAAAAGGAAATCAAAAACAGCCATGAAGGCCAAAGACAGAGAAAAAAAAAAGTTAGCCTTGGCAGCAGTTTGGCGGCACACAGACTAGTGCTTTTATCGCGTTTAGTTAACGGAGCGAGGTGCCACTCGCTCACTCCGAGTGCGCCCTCTCCTGGACAGGCTTTTAAGCGCACTCTTCATTCAAGCGCAAATAAACTCAATAAAAGCTCACTAGTGAAAAGCAAGCAACAAAGGAAAGAACATGAGAAGAGAAAGAAACCGAAAATCGGCTGGCTGACACACCATCACCAATGTTAATAAAAAAGCAAAAGAAATAAGGAGCTGAGGTTTGTGGGTACAGTAGTCACAACAACTCAAAACGTTTGACCCCCTAAAACCACACTTGTCTGTAAGTCACTAAGGGGCTTAGGCTGTGTGTGAAGTCAAAGAAAGACTGGTTCGTTACAGCACCTGCCTGAGATGTTAAAGGGGAAATCTGCTGATTTTTCAAAATTTCTTTGTAAACAAAGTCATTCAGAGTGTTTTGATATAAAATGCTCTGCTCTAGAGTCAGAATTGTTCAGTGGTGGTGACAGGAACCAGATGTTGGAGGCTTTTAGAGGCATTAAATGCTCTCACACAGGTCGTACAGGAAATGGTTATCAGTAAGCTGCCTGATGCTTAACAAACTGATTTAGAATAGTTTTGAGTTAAGCTTTTTAAAATACATTCATGGCAGAGAGGTACAAGCAGAGCGTTTTAGGCCAAATAGCACCCAAAAAAACAAAAATAGCTCAGAAGACACGTGTAGGTTCAGGTGTGGTTTATAGTAAATAAAATGGCTGCATTTGTTTTGTAGACATCACAATGCTTGGTTTTCATCACCACCACTGTAAAGAACGTTTCTCAACAACGAGCCAATTTGCATAAAACCATCCTGAATAACTGATGCATTTCATTTACCAAATTTTGAAAGATCAGTGGAATTCCTTTTAAAGTCAGGGTTCAAGTAAGTTCTGAATAATGTTTTTTTCCTGTAGAGGTTTACATAGCTGCAGGCACAGCAGTATAACATATCCCCATACAAAACAAACTCATAAAAAATGTAATTAAAAAAAAAAACCCTAACCCCAGTTCCCTTTACCAAGAAAAATAAAACTTAATTTTTTAAACCACAAATTCTCATGTCCTCTTTAACTGACAGGAAGCATTTCGATTTAGTAATGCCACAAATTCAACTACATATAAAATCTCAGGGCTTTTTTTGTTCCTTTTTGCTTTTCTGAACTGAGCAAATGAAGCCAGAAATAAACCCAAATAAAATGCGAAATGGTACAAGGCAAAAAATGCACTAGACATTCATTAACGTGTGTTATGTGCGAATGACTATGTACATGTGTGACCGGGCATGTCCGCGTCTTGTGGTTATGTTCAAGAATGCATGTGTGGTCGTGTTAACCGTTCCAAGCTCCTCATATCTTTGCTGAAAGCACATTTCCGTAGGAAACAAGCTAATCTCCTCAGCTTCGGACACCAAAAAAGTCAAACAGCCTCTGCCTCAGCCAGCCCCATAAACACAGCTCCGTATGGGGCCCATTATTCAGCCACATATCTGGGTTGGGCCCTGTGGTGCAGCTGCGTCTCTCAGCTCACCAGGTTCTGTGGTGCAGCTGCATGTCTGGGCTCAGGCTGGGAAGGCTTGCTTGGTCAGCAGGTTGTAGGTTATTTTTCCTGGTTATGAGATGTGTCTCCGTGGTGATGGGTTCAGTGTCGGCTGGTTGCAGAGGACGCTGGGGCAGCTTAGACCTCGGCAGCCGTCAGGCCGATTTTCTCCTCTTCCTGTCAGTCTGAACTGGGCTTCTTCAGGGAGAAGGCGAAGATGTTGAAGTGATCACTCAGCTGCTTCACCTACAGAGAGAGAGAGAGAGAGAGAGAGAGAGAGAGAGAGAGAGAGAGAGAGAGAGAGAATATTACAAATACACTATGCAAATAAAGTCTCACAATCCTTTATGCTTGGTTACACTGTCACCCGGAAGCCACACCCTGCAGACAGTTTGACTGGTCAGGCTGCCTTTTTGATTTTTCAAAATTCCTACAAAATTCAAATCACTGAGATGTGAACAAAGTCATTCAGTGTTGTTTGAAATGCTCCACTCTAGAGAAACATAGCAACTCAGATTTCTTTACAGTGGTGTTGACAGGAAACAGGGGTCGCAATATCTACAACACAAATAGTCATTTTATTTACCATCAAAATAACTAGTGAACTTACAACAGTAAACCACTCTGAATAACTTTGATTACATTTTAAAGGGGCATCCAACTAATTTTCCAAAATTTGTGTATAATTGAAGGGTTAAGATGTACACATGAAGACTTTAATACCAGAGTGGTCAAATGCTCTGTTCTAGAGAAACGTACTGAGACAGAATTGTTCACAGTGCTGGTGATAGGAACCAGATGTCTGAACAGTTTAACACTAAAAGCTCTCTCAGTGTTATTACATGCAATGGTTATGAATCCACTGCCTGATGCCTGAAACATTGTTTCATGATGGCTTTGAGATAAAGTTTGCCCTAAAATATTTTTTGAAATCTATTCATGGCAGAGGAGTACCTGTAGGTTGTTGTATGACAAAATAGTCGCCCCCTCCAAAAACAAAACAAAACAAAAAATATATATATATATTTTCAGAATTACTGCTTATTTACCTTAATCATTCTTACATATTAAAAAGAATTAAACCAAAATAAAACAATACAACAACATATGTAGGTTCACTGGTGGGTTTGGATGGCTAATAAAATGGCTACATCTGTTGTCTAGACATCATGACCCCTGGTTCCAATCAGCACTGTAAAGAAAAAGTGAGCAGCGAATGAAAAAGAGAGCAGTGAAAAAAAAAGAGTTGGTAAGTTTCTCTATAATGAACAAACATCAAACCACTTTGTTCACAAGTCATACATGACTTATGCAGAAATTCTGAAAAATCTGTGGAAGAGTCACAACTGACCATTTATAATGGCACACCTCTAATCCCATTACAATTGTGTCTAAACATTATTTTCTCCATTAAGCAAAAGAAAAGCTCTGATAAAATTCCTCAGAACAAACCTGCAATGAGAACGGTGACGGCAGTAACTAAAAAGTCAGAATTATTAGACTGAGAAACGGTGGAAAAGTGTTACTGAGGACCCACGCTGTCCTGATCATATGGAGTCGGATGGAGCTGTTTTTATTTCAGTCCTGAAGCTAAAACGTTTTACATTAGTTCATGTGAAAGACCACAGCAAAATGAACTATTACCAGGCAGATTTATGCTGCCTCTAAGGTAAGACAGTTAGCTTCAGTCAGGAAAACACAGTGCTCATTTGTAATTCAAAACACTGTGTGTAAAGATAAATCTGAATGCACTCACATGTCATTCTGTGTATTGTTTCATTAAAGTTTTCTGAAAGACCTTTTGTAAAAGTCCTCCTCAGCATTTAACATTGCTCTGACTAGCTCTGGCATTAACTTCAGCATTAGCTCATATGATGGGTCAGTTTCCTTCACTAAAACATCCTTACTTAGACATGATATTAGACAAGTCAAGTGACTACATAATTTTCCTGTTTTGATTAGTGCAGACAGGGATTCCAAAATTGTTTTTTTTGCTTTACTTGGCCAATGTTCAAATTTTCATATTCAGTTCTCAAATATGTACGTCTGCACTGAACATCTTGTAAAGGCAGTTCATTTTTTAAATTAAAAATATTTCACATTTATCCCTATTTGCGCTTGCGCATTTTTCTTTTGTCCTATTGAACTTTGATATTGACGTTTTTCAATAATTTTGAATGCATATATGCCGGCAGAGTTTTGCATGTGTATACTCACCACTGAAACCCCGTAGTGTATATGAGCGAAGATGACCACAGCCGTCCACACGTACAGCACCACTAGCTCACTCTGCTGAACCACTCCAAAGAACACCAACAAAACGACCACGGCCATTGGCAACAACAGCCAGCTCAGCGGCTGACAACGCGTGTTACTCATCTGACATACGATTAGCTTACACTGGAAAGAAGTCGGGGGGAGGGAGACAGACACTTTTTTGTGACAGTGTAAACGGTATTAAAAAAAATTAATTAATTAATCTAACAATTTAAATTCTGATGTGGACCTCATTCGTATGTGGTACTGAAAGTCAATACGTATCTGATACACGGCAATACAACTTCTGTCTGAATAACCAGATTAAAATTCAGAAAACTTTTACATCAATCTAAATCAATCTTCATCATAATTCATTCTTTATAATTTTAAGGGAGATCAGTGCAGGAATTGCAAAAAAATAAGCATGCCACTTCCAAACAAGACTCAGAATCAGTCTTCACAAAGCTTCCCACATTCCCCAGTCTGTAAAGTCAAAGTAAATAAGAGAGGAAGCTGATCCTACATCAGCAATCCTTTCCCATGTAGCTTAGTAAATGCTGGCCCTGTCTACCTTGCACTGCTATGTAAACAGTTCAATGATTCAATAGTTACGTATTTAATTATTTCAATATGGTTGCACCTATATTGTATTGTTTTACTTCAGTGATTATATATGGTTCTTATTACTAATTGTGTAATAGTAAATACTAATTATACACAGTTAATAAACAAAATTAGTCTTAAGCATCTGAAATCAAAATATATCCCAAAATATATATCAACAAGTAAATACCATTCATTCAAGCTTGATATGAAAGAACTGTAAGTGAATCACTGTGAGTTGAGAGATGTACACTGCGGGTGGGTACTCACAGTGACATTGGCGAAGGCTGTCCCCACCATTAGGTAGAAGATTCTGGGCTGCTGTTCCAAGATATCAGTGGGGGACAGGCTGACCCATAGCGTGGCAAGGATGAAGAGGAGTATGGGGGAGAAGAAGGGCAGCAGAGCCTCATACATGGAGCTGTGCTTCAGCGTGTTGTTCCGATACGCCCTGACAAAAACACAGCCATATCAGCTGTACTATATACACACTATATATACACACACACAGCTTCCCCTTTTTGTGATAACACGTCCCTCTGTATTCATATATAACATTCGTTTCAACTGGATACAGTCCTTACAAGATTCATAATTTACCACACTACTGTTTTATTACAGATACACACACACAGACACACACACACACAGACACACACACAGCTGTTTGCAATAAACCAATTAAACAAGAACTATTTTAATAGTTCAACACAGCTAACAAGTGGTTTCTCCAAATTAAACACAAAATGCCACTTTTACTGACTACTGCGGTCTCAGAATTATTCAACCCCCTGAGCAGAGTCTCTCATAAGAGTACATATGCAAATCAGGTGTTGTCTCAATCCCAACCGATGCAACAAATCAAGAGTTTCATTGGTTGAATCAGGTGTGCTTGAGATAAAACACATCATATACCTACACTGGCTAGGGGTTTGTTGACTGAAGTTTGATTGCATGTCAAGAGAGTTGTCCAAAAAGTTAAGAGAAGAGATCACTGCCTTGCACAAACAAGGAAAAGGATACAAAAAGATAGCAAAGGAACTGAATCTTCCTAGAGATACAATTGGAACCACAGTTTGCAAGTTTAAAGTTTAAAGAACCTGGCAGAAAGAGGAAGCCATCACCGGCTACCACCAGATTCCTGAGAAGGAAGGTGGTCAAAAACCCTCAAGCTACTGCAAAAGACCTGCAGCAAGACTTGATGACAGCAGCTGATTTCAGTTTGTACAGTAGGGCATACTACATGCTGAAGGTCTCCATGTCCAAACTCCAAGACGTACACCTCTACTGACCGAAAAGCACATGAAAAGTCGGCTCCAATATGCTGAAAACCATATAAATAAGCCACAGAGGTTTTGGGATTCTGTTCTGTGGAGCGATAAAACAAAACTGGAACTTTTCGGGCCTATGGATCAGCGGTGTATCTGGAAGAGGAAGAATGAAGCATATGCTGTAAAGAACACCCTGCCTACAGTTATGCAAAGCAGTGGCTCGGTGATGATCTGGGGCTGCTTTGCTTCCTCTGGCACTGGAAACCAGCAGCACATGGATTCAACAAAGCATCAGAAAAACCTAGGAGAAAACATCATGCCTTCTGCGAGGACGTCATTGGATCTTCCAACAGGACAATGATCCCAAGCATACCTCAAAGTCAACCAAGGCTTGGTTTCAGAAGAAGTCCTAGAAGATTCTGGAGTGGCCGTCACAGTCGCCTGACCTGAACCCCATAAAAAATCTTTGGTGGGATCTGAAGAAGGCGGATGCAGCATGCAAACCCAAGAATATTAGTGAACTGGGGGCTATTGCCCATGAGGAATGGACTAAGATTCCTCAGGAATGCTGTCAAAAACTGGCGTCTGGCTATGCATCATGTCCGCAGCAGATCCTCACAACAAAAGGCTGCTACATGAAGTACTAAAGACGCTTGTCATGAAGGGGTTCAATAATTCTGAGAATGCAGTAGTCATTAAAAGTGGCATTTGGTGTTGAATTTAGAGAAACCACTTGTTACATTAGTTGTGTTGAGCTATTTAAGTGTCACTGCTGGACTGAAAATAGTCCTCCATTTTACAGGCATACTGGAAAATTCTGCACCAAACTATAGGATCATATTCTGTCAGGTCCGTTTTAGCACACAGCTGCTTAACAGGAAGTCACAGCTAGATGGTTTAACTTACTTCAAGACGTTGTAGAGACTCATTGGCAATGTTACAGCGAACAAACAACCTATAAGGCAAGCAAAAAAACATGATCAGGCAACTACATACAAGATTCTGTTACTGAGAAAGTGTTCATAATATAGCTCTTCATCTTTAAGGAATTGTTTGACTATTTCCCCTAAACTCAAATGTAGTCAATCAGCCAAAACACAACTGGTTTCCTAAGTGTGATTATGTAGCTAAGAGTAAATGGAATTCAGTGGAATTCCTTGCAATGATCAGTTTTGCATCACCAATGTCCTAGGATGGACAAAATTTACAAGCGAAACTTCACATCTTTGACAAGCGAATAGTGCTACTGATATGACTGTGTAAACCTCTGAAAGGCTGAGGCTTTTTTAGCAGAACTGAATACCCAAAACAGAGAAAATGCTAATTTCCTTGTGTCTAAGCACGAACCTTTTCAACATTTTACAAACAAATTACATAGAAGTACTGCATTAAGTATACTCTGAAATACAGCAAATATATCTTGGCAGATCAACATCTGGACTAAAGGAAAAAATGTATACAGGATTTATTTTCTTTAACTAACAAGTGGAAATTAAAGTGACTTCTGAAAATCACCTGCCAATGACATGAAAAATTAAGGTGCCTGAAAATGTCAAGAAACCATGAATCTAAAAACCTAATAAAGGTATTAGAGCACCAACACTCTCCAACGACAGAGCCACTTTTACTGCAAAAACTCAGAACAGTCTGACATACATTAGCAGGGTTGTTAGTGGCATATTAAGCCATTTGAGGAAATACTAAGGAATACTTCAATTCCTTAAAGGTTATGACCCACGTCTAATGATCTGTGCTGCAGAACGCTGTTGCAAATCAGTGCAAGAAGGAAACGCTGGAAGTGCCTTACTCTGTGTGCTCCCCTTTTATTAGCCATACTTTACAGCATTGCTGCAATAAACAGCAACATAAACTCTGATAGCTCAATTACCACGACAGAACTGAAAGTACGTCCTTACCAGAGCTTAATGAGGAGACCTGTCAGGCACCAATGCAAATAGGATATGTAAGTGAGTCACTATGAAAGGAACCAAAGAGAGCGCAGCTTCCTCACCCACGATCAGGACGATAAAGAAATCTCTGTAGTGAAGGTTCCAAATCACCGGTTGATACCACGTCTCCACGCCAACCACTGCTGTTATTATGTAGACGATAGAAATAGTCTGAGAAAGAAAGGGAAAGAGTAGGAAAGTAAAAGAGAGGGAAAAAAACATCAGGATAAATTTCATTTCTGTAAACCAGTGTGGCTCAATTAAGGAAATGGTTTAGTGAAAAATCATAATGAGCACATTTTACATCTCACAAATGTGCATGATCATCCAATACATGTTACTGTCTGAAGTGTGCTTCTATAGTTTTGCACTGCAGCTTTGAAGCTAATGTAGCTAAAAAGTGAGGCTGCATTTTTATGATTTCCAACGATGATTTCCAAAATCGATTAATATCAGTTCATTATGGCTTAATCGATTAATTAGAAAAAGAAAACGTAACTCATCATACATAATGTTTCTTTCAACAAATGAAAAGCATAAGTAATATTCCTCCTTTTGCATGACGTTCTTTTGAACCTAAAAAAAAAAATTTAACCGATCTTCTTAATCATACAATAATGATTTAGAAGATACAATACAATAATAAAAAAAAAATCAAAATGCAGCAAAACTAAATATGCAAAGACAAGCATGTCTTAGCTGATCAACTACATTTGGGAAAAAAAAAAAAATTGTGCAAATGTTATGCCTTTAGTAATAAAATAAACAATACATAATTTAAAACTACCCATTTGACAACCATGGACATTAAAGGCAGTTCTCCTCAGTATGACTCATACCAGCTAGTAATTCAGAGCCACATCATTAATGAATCATCATTGCAACACTTCTGCATTTCATGACCCAACAGACCCTTTAATTCTTTAGAAATTACTGTCCTATCCATCAATGTACGGATGAGTATGTGCACATTTCAGGGAGAGCAGATCTCACCACTTGGCTGATGTCGTAGCCCCAGGGCAGGAAGAGGATGCCGGTGTTGTATTTCTCCCAGTGCGAGAGGATGAAGGAGAAGAGGACGACCCAGAGCAGGTAGTAGAGCGTGAGCACACTGACACCGCTCGCTCCTCGACCAAACACCGAGTACATGGAGCACACAAAGAACACGCACGCCCAGCTGTCCAGGCCATGGTCAAACAGCTCTCCAAGAGGAGTACTGGAGTTAGTCCTGCGGGCCTGCTTACCGTCCACACCGTCTGTACAAACACACACACGCACACACACGCACACACACACACACGCACACATATATATTACAGATTAATATTCCCACTTCAACTCTAGAGTAACATAATCTAACCCAGGCCTTAAAGTCTACCTGAAATGAAAAGGGACCTTTTTAACTTTTTTAGTTCATGCCTCTGGTCATATTAAAGGAGAATTCCACCATTTTTTTTCAAATATCTGTAGATGTAAACAAAACCATTCAGAAGGGTTTGATATGAAACGCTCTGTTCTAGAGAATCTGACAGAGTCAGAATTGTTCACAGTGGTGGTGATAGGAACTAGATGTCTGAAGAGTTTAATACCTCTGAAAGCTGCCTCACAGAAAGTTACTACATGGAACGGTCATTAACAAGTTGCTTGAAGCATTGTTTAATAATAGTATTAAAATACAATTTTAGCCTAAAACACACATTTTTAACACATACTCATGACAGGGGTACATGAGAGGTGTTTTATTTTTTTTTACTATTTTACATTATAAATGTCACATATGAAGATGCAGAAAACATGTAGGTGAATTAGTTGTTTTTGATAGTAAATAAAAGGGCTGTATTCGTGTTGACATTGTGACCTTTGGCTCCTATCACCACCACCACTGTAAAGAAAGTCGCAAGTTTCTCTGTAATGAACCATATCACATCAAAACTTATTCAGATGACAAATTAATTTGTGGACGTATACACCTGATATTACATACCAAATGGGATTTTTTGGACAGCAAAAACGAAACATTATTCACCCTCTGTTGGGGGGAGTGAATATTATGGCTTTTTAAGGGGACTTATTTTACCTAAGTCTTTTAACCTATACATACAGTTAATATACTTGAGGACATGTGGAGTAGTTCACACTTCACACACGCACACTGACTGTCACACTTTCATGATACTAGCTTTCACACTGTGCTGTTACTATTTCAGTGATTCATTTAAAGCTCTATTTTAAGACACATGCTCAACCAGAATAACACAAACTCACAAACCAGTAAAAAGCATATCTGAATGTAGAAAATGTTCACTTGAATGTTTAAACCCTCTACTGCAGCTCCTAGTATTTTCCAGGCCAATTAAACAGTAATATCACAGTGGCAACTGCCAAACAGATGGAAGAACATGTCATTGCAGAACATACACAAGACAGAAATGATCCATTTTGGCTTTAACAAGAATTATATGTTTTTATGTGTATGTGTGCAAAAAAAATAAATCAACAAAAAATATCCACATAACGATGCTCACAGTGTATCATTATCATACTGGACAATATGCAGTTAGGACTGGACTTAAGAACTCTGCCACACACTGCAGCCTTTCCCAAGAGCTGAGAAGCTGCTCCAACATACACAACATAAACTTAAGCATGGAACATACAACAATTACCTGTAATATAGCACCATAAAAAATATATATCATGCACTTTATCATAAACATGCAACGCATATCATTATATAAAAGTACTGTGTCCTCTACTTCCTTTGCATGCTGTAGCTGCGCACTGCGTTTATCTGCATCTCAGAAAGACTATCACATGATTAGAGTGTTACAGTGTGGTGGGAGGCTGTGAAAGCAGAGCTGCTCTGGTCTTTAAACATCTTTGGAGAAACTGCAGCTTGTTTGACTAAACTGCAGTGATGGTATATCAAAGCATCCAAGATAAAGTTACACCGTGTGATAAATATCACAGTATACTGAGTTACCAAATACTGGCATGTGTCCAGAAGGTGTTTTTAGGTGTCACTAGGTGTATGCTAAATGTCATTGGGGTACGTACAAAAACTCTGCAATTCCACATTTACATTTCATTTAATCTAATCAATTACACACACACACACACATGTACTTCCCTGATCTAGACAACACAAAAAGCTCTGCACACCACTTACCAACAGCTTAACAACAGAACCTCACTGATCTGCTACGAGTGGATCTCTGAAAACTGAGATTAATCTAAAGGCAATGCTAGATTTCTGGATAGTGGCTGTAGCATATATGTATGAATGACTGTGTGGGTGGGATATTTATAATATCCAGCACTTGATACAGCGAACACAATTTATTTGTGCAGTTTATACAGACAACAGTAAATTGTAAAAGTCTGCGTATTATTGACTGTATCTTGCACATCAAACGCAAAATTTTTGCATTTGGTGTGCAGGATAAGAAACTCGACATTATTTTATTCTCCCTCTGTTTGATTTTTCTGAACTCTCATTAGCAATAAAAACGCACTGATAATACTATCAATGACCAATCATGGTGGCCTCTACTGTTGACATGACGACAACCAAGATGATGGAGTAGCATTGTTCCAGCAACAGAACTTTATTAAGAGAGCGTCTAAGAACTTCACAACCTGTACAACTTTGAAGGTTTATATTTTAACACATTAAAGGTTGCAGAGGCTGTGATGGTTATTTAGAGTTTTTGCCAGCTTACTATACAGATGATGTTATTTTGTTGTGATCTGCTCCATGTTAGTGAACATTGTTATTCACTGTTCATTTTACATAGCCTACTGTGTCACACATGCACACACACACGTGCCCTCATATAGACAACTGTTCACTTGTAAATAACATTTATTTATTCAGCAATTTACAGTATATCTGGTGTGACGCGTCATTGCATCATATTCATGTTTCATATTTTAATGTGGACTGATTTTATAAGGCTAAATGTCTTACATATGCATCACATCAATATGTGCATGTGTATAAGGAGTGAGAGGGGATACACAGCAGATGGTTTAACATCTGACGGGATACGGTGCTGTAAAAAGTTTAGGAACCACTGATTTACACTAAGCATCCCCTAGTGGTTTAAGAGACTCAACACTGACTTGCATTTACTGCAGTAATGTAGCCTTACTTTTTTGGAGGGCATTTTTAAAATTTGAATATACTGAAATATTTGACAAACAAGGGAACAAAAACCTAATATGATTTCTGAAAGTGTACTGTACACAAATACTTACCTAACGTGTATGCCAGAAAGTTGAAGAGGCCGGCTGCTATCCAAACCCAACTGGGCACGTGCACATGTCCCTCAGCTAGGACAAAAACACACATACAACGTTTAAGAGGTGGAAGTTAACTATTGACACTTTGCATGAGTATTTGAGCAGACTGAGTGATCAGAGCACGTTTTAAATTTGGCTTGGAAAGATTAGGTGTGGAGTGTAAGTAGTAAATAATTCTGAGGCATTAAGGCTTTGATCCAGTCACTACTATAAAACATTCCTGAACTGAAAAAAGGGAGTGTGAGACAGACAGAGATAACAGAAGATCTAGAGATAGACAGACAGACGGAAAATGCACACTGACAGGACTTTGGCCTTATCTTCCACTCTGTGCATTCAAAGCAACTGTTCTTCATCGTATCACAAAAGGTCAGAGAAATCAGCAGCCCGTGACCATCACACATAGGTGGATAATGCCTTACCTGAGGCGTAGAAGTCGTAGTCATACACGGACAAGATGACAAAGTTGAGCACGAGGAACATAAAGCCAGTGAAGGTGATGAGGTTTGGTGCCAACCATGTGGGCAAAATCTGAGAAGGAGAGAAAGACCTTAAGAAACATTCTACAGTGAAGTCTGTTTAGTAATAAGATCTAAATGGAAAACTCATTAATGCTGCATTGTGCATCTCAATAGATGCAAAACTGTAAACAGGATCGTTAACATGAGCATGTAAGTGTGTGTATATACACACAGAAACTGGCTGTAGCTCTTTAAATAAGCTGATGAGTCTATTAGGAATGGGATGGTATGAAAATTTTCCATCATGATATCAGTGACCAAAACAACTATCTGAACTATCATGATACTGTTAAAGGAGAATTCTGCTTATTTTTTTAATTAACTGCTTAAGTCGTCATTCAGAGTGGTTTGATGTGAAATGTGCTGTCTGTTTCGGGGGACACTTTTTTACAACTGAAAAAAAGCATTTCTTTAAAACGTTAAAAAAAAAAAACCCTACAGTTTCAATAAATGTTATTGTCACCAGCATTTTTACTATTTAGATAATAACTGTAAACTAGTGTCAGTCACTTTTTCTTTTCTGATACCAATATTGAACCTTGAGTATTGGTCGATGATGAGCCTAGGTTTTCCTCAGAAAAGATCTACTTAGCTTTAATTTTTTTTTTTTTTTAATTAAAAGAATTCACTTAAGATGATCGTCTAAAAGTAGGCTATGATGTTCATACTAGTCAAACACTCACAGGAAGCATCACACTGCTAACAGTACAATGTGAGTGAGCATTATTTCCGGATAGATTTATTACAGGATGGAACTGTTTCTTCCCCTGATTTTCTGAATATCGGCCCAATTCTGATATTTATCGATAGTGTAAGCTTGTTCTAGCACTTGCTCTGCAGCAAGAATGCAGCTGTGGCCTACGTGCTTCCACTGTGACCTCTAAAAATCGTACACATTTATGTGAATGATTAGTTTCAAGGTATGATTATCACCGGGTTTTACACTGCATCTCTAAATGCTATTGACCTATTTACTATAAATAGTTAATCTGCATTATGCTTTCCGATTCTTATCATTTTCTATTATCTCTATTGCTGACAAAGAGCAGGATTAGTGGCTGTGGGCTGACATACTATTAAGACCAACAATGCTTCTCTTTATGGTCACCAAATTGGCCCTGGTGTTGTGCATTTCTCACCTTCACCATTGAGTTCCAGAAGGGGTGCATGACATACACAGACAGAGGGTTGGTGTCCACCGCGCTGTACTGTAACCACAGAGATGGAGAAGCCGGAGGGGAAGGGGCGGGGAGAGAGAGAGAGAGAGAGAGAGAGAGAGAGAGAGAGAGAGAGAGAGAGAGAGAGAGAGAGAGAGAGAGATGTAAGTAATTAACAGAAGATGCGTCACACACACTCACAAGGGATGTAACTAGGGGTGGGCAACTGCATCCCACCTCTAGGATGCACACAAATTTGTAGTTCTGATCACAGACAGTGGATTAAATAAGCACATAAAAGACTCAAAGAAATAAAAACATATCATGATAAGGCCTTAAATTTCATCACACTGTTTACAACATTAATGTTTTCCATTTTCTATCCTGTATTGAAATCATTACAGTCTGTAGGCTTTATAGTCTTATTTCACACACCGCCATCCTTGCAATCACCATTTTATGATGCGTTTCGAGCGCTTTCTCAAACCCTGGTCATGCAACACCATTTCCCTTTCTCTCTTTTTCACACCCACACAATACGAAGTCTGCATGTTAGTGACAAGTACAGACACTTAAAGAGGCGATGAAACCACAGCCTTGCAGCTATCAGGGCATTAATGGTGTCTTCAGTCCAAAGCAGTAGTGACTCATCACTATACAAGCCACCACAGGATAAAACAGTGTCTATTTGATAAATCCACTTGCAACTAGGGCTGGGAATATGACCATTTATATCGTTATCATGAGAAGCTATGTACAATACAGTACAATAAGCTTTTCTGAACGTATCATGTCTGCTGTCGGTATTTGTAGAACTCTGACCAACTACATGTTTCATTATAAAGAGAGCAAAATTAGCCCCGATTATCTGCAGCACAGAGGGTCAAATGTTTTTTAGATTTACAAGCTGAAACAGACAAAATGCACCAGCAAAACCATAGTGCCACATTTTTTTTTATAAAAGACTGGAAACTATCAGAATTATATAAGCTATAACTATAAGAACTGCGCAAAAATAAAAGTATTTTGCAAAAATAAACTATTTTGCTAAGACAAACAACAGGTAAAAACAAATAAAATAAGACGATGTCACAATGGGTTGACATCCAATCAGCTACATGTTACTACGCAGTTCATACAGACTGGCTGTTGTTTAGAGACATCCAATAATTGCTTCAAATTGGGGATGCATGGTATTGGAACTATGGGCCAATACTGATTCTTCCATGTACATATCTGCCGACTGAGATATATAAATTATATATATAAAATGTTTAATTTGGGACTAAATATACCCGTATTGGCATTACAGAGGGGTTGCATATCTACTCAGAAGGACAGGTAGGCCTAGCCCCTGCACCAGGAAACATTCATGCTATTCCTGGATTGTGTTGGAAGCTGTAGACAGTAAAAGAGGTTCTTATGTATTTGTTAACTGGCACTTCAAGTTTGTTTTCCTTGCGCTAAACATCCAGTTTTAACCACCGTTATATGTCAAGCACTGTCCACTGCCGGCCACAGCACATACCAGGGGAATTTTTAGTTAACTAGTCTATGCAACCCCTTGTATATACAGCATGTGTCACAATAGTACTAATATACTGTCGAATTGTTTGCCCTTACAAGACAGACTGATAATATAATTATTCTGGTGGTGATAAGCAGTGAGCAGTTAGTGTGGTCATATGTCATACAGCAATCACAAGGAACTCTAAAAGCAGGCCTATGCTACGTAATAAGCAGACATGATGGACTTGAGGCAAAACAAACATGCCACTGAAGGAAGTCACTAAAACCCCAAGAAGCAAATTCACTATCCTACTCAGCCTAGTCTCTACAACAGCATTCAGGGGCTAACGAAGGTTTAAAGGTAAAGAGCACTAAAGGTGGTCCACTATGAGGCACTGCTTACAGCCCTGTTGCCCTGGTCTCTGACAAAGCTGCCAACTGGGCCAAAGGCTTATTTATTTGAGTCAGTGAAAACAACTTCCCATGGGGAAAATGAAACACCCCTACAAACATGCTCCAAACAGGTCTGTCAATCACTTTAAACTGACAAGAGGAATAACTGCACACAGTACAGTGAATGTGCCAAACAGGAGGCACATTAATAAATATAAAGAAAGCTCTGTTTAACAAGAGCAAGGTCATGACCATTTTCAACCCTGTGTCACACGAAGGCACCCGGACAGCCTGATGTGTGTAACAAATCATAACTCTCAGAAGGTCCCAGCTGTCCCTGGTCTTTAGAAATGATCCAGTAGTCTGGACTCTAGTCTTTATACATGGCTTACAGAGTCCAGTTCAAGCTCAGGCATGTTAAGGAGCCTTGATCATAGAAACCCAAATTTCCTAATTTATTTAGACAAAAGGGTTTTATATCATATGTTATCATTGTCAAAGTCTCAGTGTATGTTTACCATCCACTGCAGAAATGGAAACTAAGCTGCAACACGAACATGCTGTTTTCGTGATGTCAGAAACCATAAATTCACCTACTCCGCCTACGGCAGTTTAGGTGCGTCCATTCACATCTAAGACATGAGGAGTGTTTGAACCCAGACTGCTTTCTGAATGAGATACAACACAAGCCAGCCAATCAGAACAGAGCTTATTTGCACATCACTCTTTTAAAGGCACAGTAACAAAAACATTTTCATTTCAACAAATACAGAGAGGTTGGAACAACAAATTACAGCTGTTTTGGTACATAAAACCACATAAATAAATGGGAGAAAAAAAATACAATTTCAGAAAAATGAATGATATGGGCCCTTTAACCCCTTTAAAGGCTGGGCCCAAAGGCTGAAAGTTTCACTCTATGCACTTCTATAATATAAGAATGACTCAGTCTGCACTGACAGTTTGCACTGTAATCCATGTAGCTACTGAATAATATGCCTGAGTATGTAATCAGCCTGGGTTTTTAGGGGGTTAAGGAAGGGCAACCAAACAAAATCAGCACAGTGGTTCATTAAAGGTGTTGAAAATATAGATGACAATATAAAACAGAGCTTCTAGGCTAATTCATAACCAAATGACTGGTATTAAATGCCACTTCTGTCGTGTACGTGCTTTATAGTCTATCACTGCATTCAGCACAATGTGGATCCGGGATGAAAACACATTTAGCAGCTCCACATCCTTCATCCTTGCCTGAGGACACGATGCAAGCAAACAGCTTAAGGCAAGTTTAACTATGGCTTTAGCTACAAAAGGACACGTAATAACGTAAACCAGTTTGTGAGGAAAACAATAGACGCCCAGTGAGATTCTTCGGTTCCCACTGAGTCAACGACAGCGAGCACTGTGGGTCTGGAGTCACATTAACGTTCAGTGTGTTTGAAAACTGGTGAAAGTAAAGCTCTTTCAACTTTGGTACGAGCAAAACTGACAATTGTATGTCGAATCAGCTAACAGGGTGTACACAGCTGACTGGTCATTCTGGTTAGCATAGCCGACGAGGCTCGCAGCGCTTTGTGCTCAGCTGACCGGCATTTCATTTCTCTGACAGAGCCGAGAGGAACGAACTCATCAGAGAACACCGGTTCACCTGCTTTCTCTGACTGGAAACGCGAGAAACTGGCTAGATAACCTCACCCCATATGCAGAATTTCACAAATTTGACTTATTCGTGTAAAAATTGGACAAAATTAGCTCGCCGGCTATCAGTCACACCACCACCCCGTCACCCCGTCCAGCCCATGCTGTCCGGCTTAGCATGACTAGCCTCGGAGCCCAGCCCGGTTTCCGAGGAAGTCTTGACGTTAACTCACAACAGCAGCCTCACCTTATACTTATCGAAGCCCGAGAGCTGGTCCTGGGTGACATACTCGTACAGAGCCATGGTGAGAGGAGCCCAGTGCGGCTCTCAAGCGCAGCAAACGGAGCTAAAGCTAAAGAGCCGCAGCGCCTCCTCGGAGAAGGAGCAGTGAGGATCCGGCGTCACCATCCAAACTCACATCCGATCAGCCACACGCACTGACAGCCTTCAAAATAAAAGTCCCAAGGCCTGCCGTGGACGGCGCTAGAGCGGTAGGCCAACCCTGATTCAAACGACTAGTTCATTAACAAACACCTCATGAGACTAAAAGGGGTGTTTTAAAGCAGTGCATTAAACTGTAAACTGAGCATGTGTCCTAATAGTTTAACGACTCCTATTTTCCTATCGGCGTTCCTTAGTTTTGCCTGGAGCCACATGCTAGTCAGCTCTGCTAATTCATTTAGTGAATCCACGGGCAAAATCAATAAAAGAAGATAAATGAAAGAAACTTTCACTTATTTTATCGGTCGTACTCAAAGGTGTTCAATGTACTCAATTTTTCCTAAGGTCCACTTATAACATTTGTGTGGATTTATACACAATAAAAGTCAGAATTTATTTTTACGTAACTGTTTTCCAACCTCTCCCTTATCCTATCCCTTAGAATTCAACAGCCCTGAGACTGATATAAGATAAATGAGCTCTGTTCTGATTGGCTGTCTTTGTGTGGAGCCACATTGAAAAAGCATTCAAACACTGCTTATAACTTCAGTGAGAATGGGCAGGGGCTAAACTGCTTGTAGGCTGATGAGGCTGTAAGTGTGATGGTTCTCTAGACATCACTGAAAAAATGGATGTAAACCAAGCTGTTTTTGCAGCAGTTTCCATACGTGGACTGCATTAAGTGGGTAGTGAAAGGTACACTTTGAAACTTTAACCATTTTTACATATTACTTCAAACTAAATTTCAACAAAGTAAAGGAAATTCAGTTTTCCATGATATGAGATGTTAACACTGTTAATATCATGCAGACAGTGAGGTGATTTTTTGAGTCTAATTGATGAAACTGTTTGACTGATTGTTAAGAGACCTAAGGGTTAAAGGATTAGTTCACAGTTTTCATCCAGACCTTATTAAAATTGTAATTCCCCATTATTTTAATTATTAAAATATTTTTTTTTTCATTTTTATATAAAATTATTTATCAGAAATGATTATTAAAGGACAGACCAGCATAAGTGCAGGAAAATCTTTTTATTCCACGTCTGATCACATGGTGTGCTGGCTTCTTCTGAGAGAGCTTTACATTAAATGTTGGAACATTGCTGTGAGTATTTGATTGCATTCAGCCACAAGAGCATTAGTGAGGTCAGGTACTGATGTTGGATGATCAGTTCTGGATCACCAACTCCACTCCAGCTCATCGCAAAGGTTTTCAATGATGCTCCATCACGCCAAAGAATACCATTCCAATGCAGGGGGGCTTTATACCATTCTAGCTGATGCTTGGCATTGGGCATGGTGACTATAGGCTCACGTGTGGCTGTTTCAGAGCGTCCCATTCTACTGATAATGCTTTTCTAAGGAGATTATACAAGCTGCATGATTGAATGCTCGTGTCAGAATGTGTCTACCTTCTTTTAAATAGTGTGTACTTCTTGTCTGATTGATTATGTTTAGGGAAATTGTGTTAAATTATTCTGATTAACAGAAAAGCCAAAATGACTCAGTACATTGTGTTTTGCAATAACACATTATGCAACTGAATGACATGCAAGGATGTTGTAAGGTCATCCTCATTAATGCTCATAAGTGTTAGTAACTTCATGACATCACACAAACACCATGATGTCACTGAGGTCCTTGCGTGTTAGGTCAGGCACTGTGGCGTCCGGGGCTGGGTATCCTACAGGAAGCAGCATGAGCAGCTTCTCATTGACTGGCCGACGGAGGAGGACCCTGAGCTGTGGGCCGCAGTTTAGAGGCGTGGATGTCACGGTAACCAGCCCAACATTCTGGCAAAAGGATCAGATAAGAAGAATCAGTCAGTCATTCATAAAAAAAAAACTCATTTGCATGTCAATGACAAAACCTGCTCAACAACATTTGGACCACTGTATGAGGTCTGAAACCTACGATGCATGCACTGCTGGGAGTCACCCTGAAAAGCCTGAAATAATATTTTAAAAGTGAGAGGTGTCGGGTCAGATTTAGCAGGTGTTTTTGACCATGTCATGTTTTTTTACGTCACACACCCAAAACTCAAAAAAGTGGTACGGCTCTTGTACCACTTACATGCACGTAGTAATCCAATCATTACTGGATTTCATCAGTTATCTGATTATTCAAATGTAAACAGCATTCTCCCAGTTCTTAGATTGGGTAAAGGTCTATAAATCTGATAAAGAGAGCTGGATGAGATAAAGAGATGCTGGAAGCAGCCATTAGAAGATTTGTAAACTGTGGCCATAAAGGGATGCACGTGGTCAGCAAAAGTACTGTGGCACTGAGGTTCATCAGACAAAGTGACGTTTTCACAATCTTCAGCTGTCCAGTATCAGCGAGCCTCTGCCCACTGTGGCTTTGGATTCCTGTTCTTAGCTGATTTAATGTGTTGTGCTATTGTAAAGAGTGGTTATTCCAGTTACTGTAGCCTTTCTGTCAGCTCAAAAAGCTTGGCCATTCTCCTCTGACCTCCTCAACAAGGTGTTTCTGCCCACACGAGTGAGTTTTGTTCCACATCAGAAAAATTCTTCGGTAGAGCCGTACGTAAAGTACATTTCATCATTTTGTTCATTCAGTTTTTGAGCCTCGTTTACTGCAAGGTCTATCGTTTGTACACTAACTAGGCTTACAGCACATGGTATCAGGTGGTATGTTGGTGCCTTTTTAAGAGGTTGAGTAAATGAGTATATCAGGCTAATGCCCTATACCAGTCTCTGTGTTGATGCATTTTTTTTAAATCACAGTTTCCCATTTCCGTTATCATTCAAAAGATTCAGAAGTGTTAGATTTTGATATTTTGCTGCATTCAAATTTGTAGGTTTTTTTTTCCAGCTAAAAGTTTTGCATGAATGTGCCGTTTTTGACCATTTTTGGCTTAAATGTTTCAGGAGCCAAAATTTTCCCTATATTTTATAGTCTTAAACGCAGTGATTCCCAACAAGTCAATGGTAGCTCCAAACATTTGAATGACACTGTACATGCTATGTAGTCTTCACTACCTGCAGAGCTGCCAGTAGGAGCCCACATGAGATGGACACACTAATCTCGTTATAGTAGTGAGTCTTTTTCTTTCCGTTTGGCAGAATTCCATACGTCTGCTTAAAGATGAGGATGAGATATGGCGCTGTGTCCAGATACTCCTTCACCCAGTTGGTCCTGTACAGGAAAAAAGGGATATCATACGGTAATTCTTGTAATAAATTCATGTTTTAATTAGCGTGTTATATGCAAAGTAAGGATGGGACAGTGTGGCAATTTCCTGTCATTGGATCCATACTGTGGTATGTTATTAAAAGGGAATTTTTGATTTGTCAAATTTACTACAAAATTAAATCATTCAGATGATAAAACAAAGTCATCCAGAATGTTTTTTAATGTGAAATGTGGCATTTTAGAGGAACTTTAAAGGCTCTAAAAGCTACCTCACATAAACCCTATTGCACTAAATGACTACAAATAGGTTGCCTAATGTCAGAGATATTTGTTATGATAATTTTGAAATAAAGCTTTGGCATGTTTATAAAACTCCATTCATTTTGGAGAGGTGCAAGGTGGTGTTGTAAGGCAAAATAGTCCCCAAAGAAAACATATTTTTTGAGATTTACCACTATTTTATCATTATGAACTGATTTATATCACCACTACTGCAGCCAGTACATTTTTTTTTTTACAATGAACCATTTTACATCAAACCACCCTGAATGACTTTATTCACATTTCACAATAATTAAATTATGCAGATAAAAAAAAACAAAACAAAACAGTGGAATTCCCAAATAAAGCCCATAACCATCCCTACTGCAAAATAATGTTAATGTAGCCATTACTATGGGTATTCAACCAGCTGTGGGCATTACAGATCTTGGCCACAAGAGGGTGCTAGTGTTCTATGTCAGCTCAGAAAGCTCTGTTCAGAAATCCAAACAGACCTGGTCTGTGAGTGCACTTTAAAAAACTAATGCCCCCACAAACCACACACACACACAGTCCTAACCGGAGTCTGCGCAGGTCATGGACCCATTTGTCCCCCATCCTCTGTTTGTAGTTGACCTCTTCCTCCTGCTCCACGATCTCTCTGATCTTGTGTTTGGTCTCTGCATCGGCCACCACCACGAACGTCCACGGCTCAGTGTGAGCTCCGCTCGGCGCTGTTCCTAAAACACACACGCATCAAGCAATGAGATCTAGCTTAAATTAAAGTGGAGTTATTATTATTTATTTCACACTTATTTTAAAAAACTAATAGTAATTCAGAGTGGTTTGATGTGAAATGCTCCACTCTAGAGAAACTTTTCAGAGTCAGAACTGTTTACACTGGTGGTGAAAGGAACCAGACGTCTGATGTTTTAATGCCTCTAAAAGTTACTTCACAGAAAGTTATTACATTTAATGGTTATAAATATGCAGCCTGATGTCTGAGACATTATTTTATGATAGATTTTGGGATAAAACATAATTTTAAGAGCTATTAATAACACAGAGGTACATGTAGGATGTTAAAGCCCCAGTATAGTCTCTAAAGATACCTTTTTTCCCAGATTTATCACTATTTTACCATTGTCATTATATATTACATATAGAATGTAATATACATTATAGCTTAGCAAAAACAGTCCACTTTTGTCCTTTTATGCAGATAACGGTGGCACAGTAATTGGTGGGGTATAAGCCTCCATTATGTATTATCTACCCTAGCCTTGTAACATCAGCACATAACTAAAGAAGTACATTTCAAACACCCAAGCATGTTTCTCTGTAAGTTTCATGCAATTACAAGTTTCCACCAGAGAGGTCCCCAAATCCCCAAATCTTACAACGTGCAGCTTTAATCAAAACACTCACAGGAGCTGTGACTGGTCAGGATGCTCGCGGCATGCAATAAAAAATACTCTGATTGGTTAGAGAGCTTCTTTGCATATTGAAGACTTTCAGAAACATCAGTATTACAAAGGCCAATATCAAAGGCGTCGCGAGAAATTTGCTAAAATGTGTTATGATCAACACATGAAGTTTGCATTGACGTTAACTCATAACTATACATTGATGTGATTGTGACATACTTAAGAACTATACGAAAACAAATGAATATAAAGAGCTGTCAATAATTTTATTTCTATCTCTTCTGCCTATTCACGCTCTCAATGACTGTAATTCCTTAATATTTCTTAAAATTCCTGTCTAAACAGTTTCCCCACTGAAATAGTTACCTCGTTAGCTAGTTAATTTTATCGCCAATCCCCCTTTTCTTTACCTCATGTTAGCCTGAAGTTAGCTAGCTCACAAGCAGGAAACAATGGGTAGAAACCTTTTAGCTAGATATACTGGCAATCATTTACCACCTGAAAGGCTTTAAGTTCACAGCACAATGTCTTTAAAAGTTGTTCAGCAGTTCTATTTGAAGCGCTAAGCAACGTTTAAGTAAGATATCCTCGCGTGTTGGCCAAACATTTGTTTCCCTGCATTAAAATACCAGCCTGTGTGAGTCAAACGGCCCTTTCTGTCAAAGTAGGCAGTTCTTGGCCACATTAAAGAAGTCTTGATTGCAGGCTAAGGGCTAAGAGGCATTTGTTTTGACAGAAACTAATAAGTTAAATAAACACACTCATAATCTTCACAAATTTCTACATTTACATCTACATTTATTTGGGAGGGCTAAAAAACATTTTTATGGTACCACTGGCTTGTAGCAGCAATGAACAAACATTATATTGTGAGGCACTACTATGTACTCCGGCCTAAGTGGTGTGTTTTTGTACCTGCTGCAAGGATGACGTTCTCGATGACCTCTCGTGGGACGGGTTCTGGGCTGATGAAGCGGACAGAGCGTCTCTGGTTGAGCAGCTTGTAGAACTGCTGTGAGCGCTCCAGCGTCTCCTCCTCAGAGTAACGAGGAGGAGTGTATGGAACATGGGGCAGATCCTCCGTCCCTGCAACCACCCAATCATTGTCCTCTAAGGCAAAAAGGAGATATAGCTCAATCACAGTTATGAATTATGAATACACTCTAAATACAACCATCATCACGCAAAAAATAAAGCTGAAAAAGTGATGCATTCAATTCACTTGATTGAAATTTGAACATCAGTTCTACATGAATTAAAAATATTATATCAACACAATTATTGCCAAAAGTAAGTAAACTGCAAATACAAAATTGTGCTGACGTAACACGTTATTGATTTGAAATTATATACATATTTCAATCATATAAATGGATTGATTTTTCATATCATAGCTGATATTAATTGACATCAATGTTAATTAACTGAGGTATAAATCTCTGACCTAACAGATTCAATTTGATTATTATTCGATTCAATAAGATCCCAAATTTCTCCACAATTCAATCCTTTAAAGTAGATTTTTCTGCTATTACCTTACCATGTAAATAGTTCCCTACACACATTGAATACACACTTTTGGCTAGACTGACTACAGATGCGTGAGAAATTAAAGGACAAACAACATATATTGTCTTTGTATGGTGCTGGGCCACCACATGCTGCCAGAACAGTTTCAATGCACCTTGGCACAGATTCAACAAGTCTCTGGAACTGCACTGGAGGGATCTTTCAAAAGATATTGCCTCAGTTAGTGAGTTGATGATGGTGGCAGAAAGCACAGTCCAACATGTCAGTCCAAAATCTCCCATAGGTGTTTAACTGAGATCTGGTGATTGCAAAGGTCATAGAACATAATTTGTGGGTGGGCAAAGGACTGTTTTTGCTGACACAGTCTGATCACGTTTTTCAATGGCATTCTCAGTTCTGTGTTTTCTTACATATTGCACTAATGTACAAGCATATAAATCTCCTGAACCAATACCGTTTCATTAGCTACCCCCTAAACAGTCCAGAGCAAAAGTTTTATTACACACTTCTACAACCAAAGAACAGCTCAACTAGTTTGCATTAAAGTCGCTGTAGTTACTGAATAATAAGACTTGTATGCAAAAAGCCTGGGAGCATAAGGGGTTTACTGGCGCCTGTGTCGGCTAGCAACGAGCTGATGTGGGGAGAGTGGGAGGGCCATCCTACCCACTCCGAGAAAGCCAGGCCAGTTATGCACTCCTGGAACACTTGAACACGTAATCACTCCATGATAGGGGCAATTCCTAGACAGCTGTGCCATTCGGTAGCCCATACACTATGCTTTTTTAACAATAACCATCTGCAGGTTTCTTTAAATCAAGGTGAAGAAGAGACTCCTAAGTGATGTAGCTACCTAACACTTCATTCTGTCAGGAAATTGTCAGTTCCATAACTAGCCTTGCTTAACTGGATGTAGTACAGCACAGTATTGTGATATTATATCTTTGCCATATCGTCCACCCCCTTCAACAGGTTTTCCATTCCGCTGAACTACACACTCCAACTTCGTCACAGTCTTCTCCACGTGCAGCGCGTCACTGCACTTCACTGCCCTGCAGACAAGTGCACTCAGCTGAACGTGCCCACAAATAGAAAACTGTGTGTGCTTCAAAATACACTACAGGGCAAAAGTTGGGAAACAGCACAAATCTTGTGAAAATTAAGCAAAACAGTTTCATTTTTTTAAAAACAGTTGGTAATCTTATGTTTATTAACACAGAACAGTGTGGTTTGACTAAACCACATTATTGCGTGTTCATAAACATAATGCTCCAAAAAAATATCATGTTTTAAAGTTATAAAAATAACTTAAGCCATGTCCAATAGGAATATCACTCCTTTTCCTACTGGACACTCTTAACCTTAGGCTTAAGTTATCTGGCTATCTGAGAAGGCCTGCTGTGGAACACCCTCAGGAGTGTGTCAAACTGAACTGAATTGATAAATAATTTAAAAATGGTCAGTGTAAGAGACCTATAAACAAGACTTTTAATTTCAACTTTTTATACTATAAAAAAGACGGTTCTTCAAGGGTTCTTTAGTAAAGGGAATGGTTGTATTTAGAACCATGAGTTCTACATAGAGCCAGTTTATGCTTAAATGTTTCTTTGCATGGTGAAAAGATTCTTCAGATTGATGGAGAGTGTGTTGTTTATGGTTCTATATAGCACCTTTTCGAAAATGATTCTATATAGCACTAAAAAGGGCTCATCTATTGTTATAAGCTTGACATTGTAACGATAAAAGAACCCTTTTTGGTGCTATACAGAACAAGTTTCAAAAAAGGTTCCATACTCTTTAAAAAAAGATGGTTCTCCAAGAGTTCTTCAGTAAAAAAAAAGGTTCTAAACACCCAAAGAACCCTTTGTATGATTAGTTGTTCTTTACATTGTGAAACGGTTCTTCAGACTGATGGAGAATGTGCTGTAGATGGTTCTATATAGAACCCTTTTGAAAATGGTTCTTCTATTGTTACAATGTTCTATATAGAACCATCTACAGCACCTTCTCCATCAAGCTGAAAAACTCTTCCATGATGCAAAGAACCATTTCATCTTTTCTTTTCCTTACTAAAGAATCCTTGAAGAACAATCATAGAACCACATAGAACACATTCTCCATCTAAAGGACCATTTCACCATGCAAAGAACCATTTAAGCATGAAATGTTTCTGTACAGAACCATCTTTCTTAAGAGTCTAGATGCGAATACACGTGCTGAGATGGGAAGTCATTCTTAAATCACTGTTCGCTTCCAACCCAGAAGGACAAGCGGCTTAGAAAATGTATTTATGTATGTTCGCTTCCATGCTTTTGGGTTGTAGGACAAAGTGGCAAAGTAATAGACGTTAGTTAGAAACTAACACAGTAAAATAGTCCGGGCTAAAGTTTCAAAATGTTCTCGCTCAGATCTAACGCAAGAGCACCGTATTCTGTACAGTACTTCGGCACTTTTCGCGTTTCGGCAGTTATTGCGGAAATCCCCGAAGTCATACAGGGTGTAATGATTGGTTGGACTCTGCAAAATCTGCCTAGCAACCAGGATGCATTTTGATTGGTCACATTAAAGAAATAAGAAGGATCAGTTTTCCGTACAGTGTTTTCCCTGCATTTTATTTGACGTTTTACGAAATCTAATTGCATAAAATTACAATAACTGATTATAAAATTACATTAACTGATTATACTGATTATAAAAGTGAATTAATATAAACAATATGTGCAATGAATGAGGCTACCATGGAAAGAAGCCCAGTAAAGTGAGGCAGCGGTTTGAAGATGCGCATCTGAAAGGAGTCACTTAGCTGACGATGTAAACTTAGATTAACAGCTCAATATTAAACATACTGTGTTTCGTGGTGATAATCCATTGTTTAATATTCGTTTAAGCGTTAAATATGATGTTTAAACGTGCAAAAATGCATTTTAACAGGCCGTGAAAGTTTTCCCCACCCCCAGCTTAGATGGTCTTGCCAACCGATTTGATGGAAAAAAGGATATGTGACAATGTCTCAGATGTATCGTTGACAAATGTCAAGAAAGTAGTTTTTATTACACAAACAGGAAAAGTTGCAAGAGTACGGAATACCGAAAAGTACGGAATACCGTGCTCTTGCGTTATAGGTGATAAGAAGCTGGACAATCGGGGGAAAATGACCCAGACGTAGCAACACGGTCAAGAAGGCTTCTGTATGGGTGAATGTGTGAAGCAGAGGCTGAGGGGACGCACCGCTGTCTTTAGTGCTGATTTCAGTGTCGTCCTGCAGGTCCTCGTCCACCCACGGCCTGCTGCTGGACTCTCCTGCCGCTGTGGAGGGCTTCAGCTGAGAGGAAGACTCCGCTCTCCGGTAGTTCCTGAAGAAGAAAACGATAACCACGCACAGAACAGCCACGAACACCGGAGTGAAGACCGAAATAAGCGCCATGGCGGAGAGGAGCCTGCTGAGAAAGCTCAAATCTGCAGTGTGAACTGAAAGTGTAAAACTCTGCTGAAGTTTGAGAGAGAATCCAGTTACAGGGGCGGAACCTTTTTCACTGGTTAATATTTGAACGAGATAAATCAGAGCCGGTGTATGAGTTTATTTACGGTTTATCTCTGTAAGTTCTCTGCTGATACCACTGATTCGATAAGAAAATAGGCCAATCTGAAGAATCCCCGGTACTGTAGACTTAAAATCTATTAAATAAGACATTTTTACAACGTTTCTGCAGAATTCTATAGCAAAAGTAGTGATACCTAAATAAATATATTTTTCTGAGATTTTCATTAGTAAACTATATAGAGCCTCTAAGGGGCATGGTTAAAAAAAATAATGACATTTTTTGCGTTCCCTCGCTAATGTTTTGCATTACGATGCAACAGTTTGCATTGGCTTGCGAAAGCTGTGCTTTGCTTAAGCTCAGACATGAAGCAGCTCATTGAGTTTTATGTTGATCTTGGATTGAAATATAAAGACATAGTGTCGCTTCTCAAAATCAAACATGATTATGCTGTTAGTGAGCGCAAACTGAAACTGAGATCGAGTGTCCTCGTACAGTAAAAGCTACATTTACAGAGACTGCAGAGAACAATTGATGAATAAACTCAGCACAGACTGCGAAAACAGCTTTTAACGTTAGCCATGCTAAAAACAAAGCTCTAATGTAGGCAGTGTCGTTGGGCACCTCTGGTCCCACGTTTGCTGGCTGTCTGATAATATATTTTGGGAAATTATTATATAGGGAATGCATATATTTTGCGAAGGAATGCAAAACATTTGCGAGGGAACGCAATGTCTTTAACTAACCTCGGCTCCTTAGGGGCTCTGTAAAACTAGGCTTGTGTGCACCTATTCATGGATCTATTATTGTAAGTGGTGCTAGTTGTTACATGATAATATAAAATCCTGAATGACGTTGCGTAATGCATGCTGGGTATTGTAGTGCGAGAACACTGATGGACAAAAACACAAAAATATACAGAATTGAGAATTCTGTCAAACTAATGAAGGTGAGAGATGCAATGCCACATGATAAACATATTAAAGGGCCCATATCCTAGATTATATAATGTATTCTATTTTATTCTCTGAGGGCCGCTTATGACATTTGTGGTTTTATATACCAAAAACTACGAAAGTCCGGAGAGGCCATGAGCTGTTGCTGTAATTTTCTAGATTGTTATCTTGAGATAATGAGTTAACTATCTTGTGATCTCAAGATTACAAAGTTGTTATCTCACAATACCAACTTTGTTATCTTGAGATCACAAGATAATTAACTTGTTATTTCAAGATAACAACTTTGTTATGTTGAGATCACGAGACAGTTAACTCATCATTTCAAAATAACAATCCAGAAAATTGTAACTATCTCATGGACTTTTCAGACGTCCACAAAAAACAGTCGTAGTTCATTTTTACATGACCATTTTCCAACTGTATCCTTTAGAATTAAACAGGCTGTTTTTTGTGCCTTTAAGATAAATGTAAATGACCTCTGTTCTATTGTGCCTTGTTCAAAAAGCAGTGCAGGCCTTATAACGTCAGCGTGAATGGGTGGGCTAAACTGCTGTAGGCTGAATAGGTAGACATATGTAAATGCGTTGGTCTGTGACATCATAGAAACAAGGATTTGGAATCGGGCTGTTTTTGCACCTTAGTTTTTATATATGGACTGTATGAACCATATGTTTTTTTTTAAATGGCTAACGATTTTCATACCGCATCAAGCAGGAAAAATTCAATTTTCTGTAATATGGGCTCTTTAAAGGCTAGTTTAATGCTGGAATGCCCCTTTAAGAATGTGCACACATGCATACACATTTACAGTTGTTAAAAGAACACAATCTAGAGAAAACATGCTGCAAAAATCAGACAGAAACAATCTAAAATGCCATACATGGCGTGCAATAATGTAAAAAGTAAGTGTCAAATTTGAGGCTTATATCTCTTTCTTTCTTTTCTCATCTTCTCGCTGGCAAAACAACAAAGTCAGGCTTGATTCATGTGACCTTAGAGAGATGAGCTTTAAGTTAATTTCCTGATATTTCCATAATGTCACACTCAATCATAATAAAACCCCTTAGACCACTGCTGGCTTTGTAATTGAGTTTGATTTGCCATTGCTCCACAGTTGCTGTGTAGAGTTCACCCACACTGTGGAGAGAATGGAGATCAGTATTGGATCTCATGCCTTCTGTGCAGCCATTTCTGAAATGAAACAATCATAGCTATTAAAGGCTTTATTAAGAAATAATACTTTTGCAATGGAACTGAAGATGCTTTAAACCAATCAAACAAATTGGTCCTTCAGAAATAAATTTACATTTACATGGATGAGAGAAAACAATACGATGTCTCACAGACCTCACATCGGCGCTGGGATATTTTGTTTTAGTTGGTTCTCTTGGTTGACACATTTGGTGTGGGAGAAATGAGCAAGTGTGAAGACTTGAGCGACTTTGATGAGGGCCAAATTGTTATGGCCAGACGACTGGGTTGGAGCATCTCCAAAACCACAAGGCTAGTGGTGAGTAATTACCAGAAGTGATTGGAGGAGGGACAAACCATGAACTGGTGACAAGGTGTTGGGCACCATCGGCTCATTGATGTGCGAGGGCACCACTTACAGAAATGTTTAAGCATGGTAATGAGAAGAATATATTAAAAATAAACAGTGCATCACAGCCTGTTGTGTAGGGGGCTGCATTGCTGCAGACCAATCAGAGTGCCCAGGCTGACCCCTGTCAACCACTGGGAATGCCTATAATAGGCACGCAAGCATCAGAGCTGAACCTTGGAGCAATGGAAGAAGGTCACGTGGTCAAACGAGTTTTGTTTTATGTCACACGGACGGCCAGGTACATGTGCACCGTTTACCTGGGGAAGTGATGGTACAAGGATGCACTGTGGGAAGAAGCATCGCCGTGGACCAGGAACATCCCTTCATGGCAGTGGTATTTCTCAATGGCAGTGTCTTCTTTCAGGAGGATAATGCGCCCTGCCACACTGTGCACATTGTTTGGGAATGGTTTGAGGAACATGAAGAAGAGTTCAGGGTGTTGGTCTGGCCTTCAAATTTCCCAGATCTCAATCCAATCAAGTATCTGTGGGATGTGCTGGAACGAAAAGTACGATCCACGGTGGCTCACACTGCAACTTACAGGACTTAAGGCTGGCTTTACACAGTGAAACTTTCATGCAACTTGTTATGAGTTGCCGGCAACCTAACTTTCATTCAATTTGATACTACTTGCAAATTTGCTTGACGAAGATAAGAGAACTAAAAGGGCTAAACGAGTTTTGGGTGAAAGACTGGATACTGAAAAGGGAGAAAAGAGTTTAAACAGGAGTTAGCATTAGCTGGCTACTTAACCCAGCTGGTTACAGAAACGCTAGCTTCCAGAAACTCCAGAAACAATTTGTTTCTTGTTATCACTCGATTAACTGGCAAAAAGACAAACGACTAACCTTACATACAGTCATTTACAAGGGTCCCCTTTTCAAGTGTCCAAAAGACCATCTTCTCCTTCATTTTCTTGTCCATTGAGCCAACACTGTTTGTCATCAATCCTTTGAAATGATCAGATGATGCGTTATCTGTGTTTTGATTGTCCTGTTTCATGAACTTGATACACTTGCAACTGTTGTGGCTGAGTTTCAAATGAGTTGCAGGATGCTTTGCAATTCAATTTAGTTTCAAGCAGGTTTCAAGCAACTAAAATTGCCTGAAAGTTTCATAGTGAAAAGCCAGCCTGAAGGATTTGCTGCTAACGTCTTGGTGCCAGACACCATAGGGCACCTGAGGTCTTGTAGAGTCCATTCATCAGTGATTTGGAGCTGTTTTGGTGGCAGGCAGAGGACCAATAGCATATTAGGAAGGTGATCATAATGTTTTGGCTCATGATCTTTGTGTGCCATAGTTAAAGTAATACTTTAGTGCTTACAATAATTTTGATGTTTCCCTGTATGCAGAAAAGAACACAAAACTCTTAAGAAACACAGTTAGAATAGAATCCAATGGGCAGTTGCTTCACAAATAGAAATGATCATTGTTGATTGAAATGTTTTAATATTCTTTGTGATTTTGTTGCTTTTTTGTTCTTGTCGCTCCTCCTACTGATGCTGCTGTTGTTGTGGTCATACTGGTGCTGTGTTGCTTACATTGCATCTTGTTTTGTTGTTATTTTCAGCCATTGAATAATAAAAGCAGATGGCAGAGGGCCGCCTGTCTCGACCCAGTCTAGAGCTTTGAGTGCACACACACCCACACACACTGTTTACAGTAAGCTGTCTGGGTTTCTGAGCTGATAATCTCCTCAAAAGTGATCCATGTCATCTGTAAGTGCTTTAACTCTGGATGGCACATTTGACCCCACACAGTCCCATCAGGTCAAAGCACACAGCCAATCAAGCAGCATGATTTAAACAATGAAGCACTGCCCAGTCGTAGAGTACTACTGCATAGGCACGGTCAAGAGAAACCAATTAATTCAATTCACTGAAATCCACTGACATACTGCAGTGTTAGTACTGTTAACTCATATTTATGCCTTAAACGTTACAGATTTTATCTGTACATAGGATGTTTGTCTCACTCAGCTGTCTAGTTTGTTTATTCATTCAGCCTTTCTGTATTGAAACTGGGCTTACAGTTTAAGTGTAGAGCTTTGATTTTGTGTACGTTTTATTTAGCATGCAGATGTTTTAACAGGTAACATAATGTAAAATACACTGCATGGCCAAAAGTACATGAACACTTCATGTTAATCATAAATAATGAATAGTTAATCGATCATAGCTAATAAATAATAAGATCCAGAAATGTGGAGTCAGTGGAAATCTTGTAAGTCGTATGATGCTGCATTTATGCATGATTGCAAGGATTGAATGGGTAAAAATGCATCTTCAGTATGAATGCATCCAATCTATCGCTGCATTAAATATTAATTGACAGTGAGAGTGATGTTTCCCAGCTTTCTCCAATTTCCTCAGCAGCTTCTGAATAAATGTCAGACTTGAGCAGGAGTGTGCATCGCCCTCAATGCCAGCACACGCCAT